ATTGGTAATAAAGGTAGGTTCTTTTCACTGACTTCGTTAAATGAGTTACATATTTTCACACAAATTACGTGCGTGATCATTAAAGGGTTGCTTGTGTGCAGTACTTCTGGGCCAGCGCCACCCTGTTGGGAGTTTTCACATAAGTAAATTTGCCGATAATACAATTTTACTCATTCTGGACATGTACCTATATATCATTATACTAGTATTTCTTCAGGTCTGTCTTCTATAACCACGATGAAAGAAAAGCTGGGCGAAAACATTTGAGACTGCAGATTGCAGAACTGGAACACTCTATTTGAAGACAGTGGCTGCTGAGTGCTGAGCTGCATCAATCTATCAGCATTCATGTAACTTCGATCAGGAACAGACTCCATTTCATTTCCGACAACTAGCACCTGTTTTCCCTAGACTTACCAAGTATTAAGTAACTCCATTAGTATTAGGTTAAATTAAAGGCCCTACATCGAACAAGTCTAACAATTAAAACTTAAATGCAAGAGTGCACAATTATCACTAAATATCTTCCTCTTTTAATTCTAATCAACACACGGTTTTCGTCTTTGTTTCACCCAATCGTGCTGATAATCAGTAATCATGCACTCTGCACTCTAACTTCGAGATGTTTCAAAAGGGCTCCCGACGAGTTAGAATCTAGATCAATATTTTCTTTTGATACATAGATACTGATTGGGAGGTTCATTCATACTATTCTTGTCACATGGTAACGATTAACGATTAGCTGATCAGCTTCCAGCATCGACAGGCCGAAATCCATAAACTATAATCAGTTGTAATTTAATATTTAATCATCGTCCGGATCATCATAATATTTCTAATTTAAAGTTACAATTGAACGGTGTTTAAGAAAGATAATTTAAGAGAAATGTTTTGAAAGTGCCTGATTTCGAGTATAAGATCTGTACTGATACATTAATTTTCAGATTGTTATTATACGTTTATTTGTATCTTTTTATATTATCTTATCCGCACAAGTTCGGAAGCCATCTGAAACGCTATTGCCAGACACAGGCATATATTTATTTTGGGGTTATCATGCTATCAGAAATTTCAACTCAGTCCGATATATAGTTATACTAACCTGCATTGCATAAGGTTAATTGTCTCGCAGTCTAGTGCATAAACCTTTTATTTGTATAAAACCCTTTATTTTGATTGGGAAAACTTTAGTTTATGTGGTTACCGTCTCTAAAGTTGGCATGATAGTTAATAAACTCTTATCTATTATGTCACTGAAGATGACGCCTTGCACATGTTTGACGATAGCCTGTAGATTGATAGTTTGATCTAAGTATTTTCACAAACAATTCATCTAGTTTTGATTGATTCAAAGGGAACAAAATTCCTCTCTCTTTCTATTATGACTATATTTAAAATTAATCCTGTAAAGTGATACTCCCTTTTTTAGTAATTTTAAACATGTGTTTATCTCCTTCTGATTTTTAAACTATTACCGGTCACGCTGAATAATAATGACATCAGTGAATTAATAGCTATCGTTAACATCACTCAGAAAATGCGCGTCTTTAGCGGTGTCTTGTTGTTATGCATCAATCCTTCGGTAGATCGGCGAGATGCACCACTGTGCCTCACCGAGCTGCGAAGGATTGACATCGTGAATCAAAAAAATTTTTAAAATCCGAGCAAGTTTATTTTTATCGTGCACCGCCTAGTGATACTCGTAAAATATTTGTTCCATATATTATATATATCCAGGACCGTCGACGAGTTGCTCTAACCTGAGCCCTCTCGCTCGCGCGCTTGCAGTAGCGCGCGATCGCCGCAGTACGCGTATACACATGGCTATGTGAAGCGAGCGTGCTAAATCATTCTACAGTCGATCTTCGAGATTGTTCTAAAAGGACTCCCAACAGTTGTAATCAACTTCAATCGATGTATTTTCGGACGTTGATTCCGAATCACCCCCTGACATAAGGGTAAAATGCTCGCCTGACGAGATATTGGCGAAAAATTGTCTCGATCACGTGATATGACCGTATAATGAAGTTAGTCTAATTTCTCGTTAGGGTTAGGGTTTCAGCTTAATTGACGATGTAAATTCATGGCAGCTCGGCGCGGCACCGTAGCGCATCTCGCTGTAAGAAGCCTCATTGAGTGCGCGGCGCGGCACAGTAACGCATCGCGCTACAAAGTTTCAGCATACAGCATATGCTTTTGCTGAGGATTGGGTTAGGGTTACGGTCGGGATCAGATTAGAGGATTAGGGTTTCGAATTGACGGATGTTACTCGTCTAAATTTCTTCGAAGTAGCGTGCGCGCTTTCTTCTCGATGGCAAGTGCTACGAAGTAGCGCGCGCCGGGCCAGATCATTAACAATGGTCAAGGTTTCGAATAGTTGTACAGGACCAGCTAGCAGCTAGAGAACGGGTTGAAAAAGTCACGTGACAGTCGAGTGTAGAGTGATTAATCATCATCCTATGTGAAGTTGACGAGTCCAACTCGGCGCGCGTCCTGGTATAGGTTGTAAACCTTTAACTAACAAGCAAACTATCCAAAAATGGTTAGCAGGTTTTCCATAACAAAGGACTTGAAAAATGGATGATGACTACAAAAAATCTTAGTATGAAACTCATCAGCGTATCAAAATAATATTCAAAATAATAAAAATGAAATTTCCAAAAAATATTTAAATCGGCCGGTGCGTGTTAACTGGATTAATTGATAGATTTGTTCCACAAATGTAATACCAAAGTGTTTCACATTTCCCCCCACTTTCGCTCTCTCTCCCCTCAACATTTGCTATATAATTAGGTAATTTGGCAGTTGACCTCAAGATTGCCTTTCAAGTATTACCATTAGTATAGATACGTGAGGGGCACTCAGAATTAAAGTATGGACTGAGCAAGTTCATACTTTCGCACAGTTTTAACTATGAAAATGCGTGTTTTCGACAATAATAGGCAGGTTTATTATACTTTTGCATTTCAACTGTGATAGTGAAGTCCCAGCCGTAAGCACGGGTTACACTAGTATATATATAAAGTAATAACAGTACTACTAGTACTATTATTTAAAAGAGATCTGAAGAAGGTAAATAGGCTAAATCAGTGGCGTAACGTTGCCTGTTGGCGCCCCCCTGCCGAAAAAAGCGCCCCCCTGTTGGCGCCCCCCTCCCCTTTTGGTGCCCCTCCCTAAAATTGAACAAATTAGGTGATTTTAAAGAATACGCCGGTAAAAATCTCTAAAAAAGTGTGTATCTAGAGCAAAACGTGCAGTTTTGCTAGTACTTTAGTTAAGTTTTCGAAATTGTCCCACATTCAAACGACGATTTGGCGCCCCCCTATGACGGCGCCCCCCTGCACAGCGGGGTCAGCAGGGCCTTTCGTTACGCCACTGAGCTAAATCTTGTTTTGCAAATATTTCAATAACGAGCTGCCATCATTATCACCCTCCTTAAATGGTTGAACAGATTTACATAGTTCTATATTGCGCAGGTTTCCATGGAACAGCTTTTCTGCTGTTTGGGACGCCTAGAAAATTCATCCTCTTTAAATAAATGTTTGCACGCGCCTGAGAACCTTACAGAACATTCACACAGTTTCGTTATAAGCTATACCTAACTCAGTTCTGTTTTAGTTACACTGTAGTGGTAATGTATATTATTTATTATGACGAAGCGATATTTATAATGCAGAATTAAAAGCTGCTTTCGATATGACTGGTGGTGGGCTCTCTCTATCTATATAGGGGGTACCCGGGGTACGAGTTAACGAACAGTGTTCGTGTCCTTCCACAACCCCCTGTTACCTGTGTTTCTGTCGGGGTAGCCTAATTCATCCGTTAGAATCGCAGAGTTAGCGGAGCTCATGATATCTCGCGACGTATGCTGCATGAACGGTGCAAGACTTGCGCCGTTTGTTTCAGCATCCAGTTGCGAGTGCTTGCCCATCGAAAACATGATTAGTGATTGTGGATTTTATTGATATTACTGATTATCCATCATATTCAGTATTAATGTTATCCATTATTTATTTATTGACATCCTTCAGTCTCCAAAACGAGGTGTGAAGGTAAATTAACTTTGAGCCTTGTTTTGGCGACTGCTTAATCGATGGGCAAGTAGGTATTTGTTTTTTAGCAGTGTTGAACATTGAAACAATTATAAAATGTTTATTTTTATCTTATATAACGTACAATATGAATGACATATGCTATAGTATAGTGACGTAACATATATAGTGCAAAGAATTAGTAACTTGCGAGATCTGATTTAGTGATAATCGACGTTAACATTTTGCAGTTTACAGTTGCACAATGTTGACGTCGATTGTTACTAACATTTATCTGAATTTAATACAAGTACATGTCACATATAAATTGGGTAGCTGAATGAAACTCGTGCCTCAAAATTTTCCGTTATTAGCATTGCAGTGTCCACGCCCTGTACTGCATTAACGACCGAAATTTTCCCAATATGCAATTATTATTTTGCTTCTAAAATTCTCTGATAATTAATAATATATCGTGACATGTAATTGTAAGATAACAAACCTCGCTCGCGCGGCGCTTACATCTGCACCTGAGAATCTCTCAGCAATGTGTGGCTGTCTGCGCGGCGGGCTGTGTATTGTGTATATAGCTGAATTTAAATTTAGATTTATTTGTAAATGTATGATAATATTAAATATGTATTGATTGTTTTGTGGTAAATAAAATTTTGTTTTACTAAAATTTTTGTTTTACTGTACACGTCACGTGGCACACCGGCGCTGTGTTGTATTACACTGCCAGCCACTTTTGGAAATAAATGTTGCTATTTATAGAATTATGAAATACACTATAATTGAGGCAACGAAAAGTCTGCAATTTTGCATTAAAAGTACATTAAGTGCATGGTGTTTTAAAAGTATGTTGAGTGCCTAGTAACTACTAACCAACTTAAATAATGTAGCCTTGAAAGGAAACCCTTTTCTAATTGAATCTCTTTTCTAGTATTTTACCTCAGCCTAACTATCCAGATTTAGATTAAATGGCAAAATGATTTTGATAGTTTTTGATTTTGATCATACTGTTGTGGATGGTAATACGGATGTTAAGATATTGGATGTACTCGGAGACAAAAAAGACAGCATAAAGTATGAAAGTTCCACTGGTTGGACTGAGCATATGAGACAAATATTTGTTCAGTGTGAAAAACAAGGTGTCACACCAGCTGACATGATATCAGTTTTAAAAGAGCTTGCATTGACAAAGGGGATGAGAATCTTATTTCAGACCATCAGAGACAGCAAAGACAAGATCAAGGTTGTCATAGCATCAGATAGTAACTCCTGGTTTATAGATGTTCTACTTTCTCATTTTGAGATAAAGGACATTGTAGATGAAGTGCACACAAATCCAGCTGAATGGAATTCCAACCTTCTTCTTTTAAAAAGATACACAACCAATGAAAATTGCACAAGATGCCCAATCAATATGTGCAAATCAGAAATAGTTTCTAACTCAGCAACTGATGACATTTCTGCTATAATTTATGTGGGAGATGGATCAAACGATTTATGTCCAGTTATCAATCTCAGGGAGAAAGATATAGCTTGCCCCAGAGAAGGGTATAGTTTGTCTAAAAAATTGGATAAAGTTAAAGTGAAGTGTTCTGTTGTGAAGTGGTCTGATGCTGCTAGAATAGTGGATTATTTGAATAAATGTTTGAATATATCATGAAGTAAATGTCAAATAACTTTTATAATGATAGTTAATAGTTATGGATTATATTTGTTAGCTTAATCTAATTTTCGAATCAGTTTTATCAGCTTATACTATAATAGAATCTAAGGAATATGCTAATTATTGTTATTTTGTCCATTTCCTGTGAGGCCTATCATTTCTATGAACAATTTATCATCATTTTATTCCGTTTTAACCTCCGACCATAACCATGGGATTGAGATGCAGTACATAATATATTTTTTAACTAGTGTTGCAGCAATGTAATTATACATTATTTTCAGTTTATGTGGTCTTATGTAGTATCATTTCTCGTGATAAATAAATATGGCCTCTTCTATCTTTGCAACCTTGTATCCCTCTTCATCACCTTTTTTGCTGGACTCTTTGCTGTCAGCTGGTTCTTTGGTGCCGAGGTCAAAAGAAAGATTCTCTACAGATATAAGGTTATTATACATCCATTTTTGATATTATTTTTTGATAATTGTGTAAGTATCATGGCCTGGTAAATCTGATTGCCAAATTAATCTAAATCGACAGAATATCTTGTTTGTTGATTATAATGATGAATTGATTGAAATAAATTTTCGTGCACATACAGAATGAATGGTTAATAATTTAATATATATGTAGACCAAGGTCTGTGCACGGGATGGCTTCCTGGAAGAATCCAGTTCTTTTAGCGGGGCACCCTACCTAAAGCCAAATTGAGATATAATAATCATATTCCTAAGAAATAATCAGAAATCGAATACCAATCAAATAATATGATATATAGGAGTAGTAACCATATTTACTATGCAAAATGCCCCAACCACATAGTGTAAATTTATATAGAATTCAAATTCCATATCATCATTAAACCTCAATAGTCAATATAATAGCCCAAGCAAAATTAAATAACTTCTTATATACCTTACTGTCATACTACAAATTGATTGAACATTTGAAATCTGTTAACCAGAGAATAAATTTTTAAACCTAATGCAAGTGAAATAATTTAGATGCAATAATGAATGCCTAATGTGAGTATCATCTGTCAATGTCCTTGTAAAACAGTCTGTACAAGAGATATGAGTAACTAATATAGAAGAAAAAACAGGAAGTTGTCGTCTGTTGTAAAATAAATAAAATATCTAGAATATAAATTAGAATATAAAATAACATTCAGTCAATGTGTCGTCAATAAACTGTACAATTATCAAATGTTAAAACTGGGTGATACAGTCACCAAAAATAAATACTAAGTATGATAAGTTAATAATTAAATGTGGTCTATAAAACTACCACTAGGTATAATAGGTCAATAAATTAAAAGTGGTTTATAAAACTACCACTGTGCGAATCCCTTCTCCAGTTAAAACATGTCAGTCATGTGCAAAATCAATCAGAATGGTAAGGTGGTCAAAAAGGGAATATCCTTTCGACATAAATTATATATGCCTCAGATTTAAAAGAATTAGAAGATACTTAGTTATCGTCGACTATGATTGCAGTGTAAAATTTGTCATATGAATTGTCGACGGTGTAATTAGGGTCTGTTGTTATAGATGAGAGTAGCTGTTTCTTATACGAATCACTTAAGCTTTTAACATCGGGCAGATTTCGTAGATCTGTTGGAACATTATTCCAACATTTTGCCCCCAAGTATTGAAAGTTTTTTATGTGATGTTGATCTATTAACATATAGGTTGCAGCTTTCGCCGCTCCTACTACCTCCTGATATGTACTAAATTTGTTCATAAAGTTTGTAGGACAATTGTCATGGATGATTCTAAACATATAATTTGACAGATGGAGTTGTCGTCTAAGATGGAGTGGTAACCATTTCATGTCTCTATAAACATTAAGGCTGCTCTCTGTTTGTGGAACGTTGAGAGCTATTTTGGCTACCTTTTGTACAGAGTGTCAAGTTCAGCAAGTTTTGTCTTGCCAGCTCTACAATAGATCGTGTCCAAATAATCGAATTGTGGCAACATGAGTGCATTGGCAAACATTTTCCTATATTTATGGGTAGCAGTGCTTTGCTTCTATACATGGCACCAATTCTCTTCATGACCTTCCTAATAATATAATCTACATGGCTTTTGAAGTTTAATTTACTATCTAGAATGAGGCCAAGATATTTTGTCTCTTTGCACTCCTTGATTGTGAAAGTTACCTCATTACATTCAATGGTTAATTCATCATGTTGATCAACAGAATCAAACAATAGGAATTCAGTCGTCTTTTCATTGAGTGATAATTTATTAACACTGAGCCATTTAAAGATTGTCATAAGTTCTATTTTCATGTTTATAAATGTGCTTCTGCAGGTTTGATCAAAGAATAGTGCACCATCATCTGCAAATAGAAAGGGCTTAGATAGGTTACAGGCATAAATGATGTCATTTATGAAGATACTAAATAATATAGGCCCAATGATGCTTCCTTGTGGTACACCACTCAGAACTTCTAAAAATGAGCTTAGATTGCCATTGATCCTTGTGCATTGATATCTACAAGATAAGAAGTTCTTAAACCAGGTTAAAGCAATGCCACCAATTCCATAATATGCCAATTTTTGAAGCAATATTTCATGATTCACTGTGTCAAAGGCCTTCTTAAGATCAAGAAAGATGATTCCTGGTTTATAAGACTTAGATTTACTCATATATATTTCGTCCATCAGATCGTACATCAAATAAGTTGTGGAGTGATTTTCCGAAAGCCATATTGATGCCGGATGAAAAATTTGTTCTCTTCCATGTAATCAGTGAGTTGCTTGCCGACAAAGTATTCTATAAGTTTTCCTATAAGTGGAAGGATGGATATTGGCCTGTAATTATTAGGATCATCTTTCATTCCTGCCTTATGGATGGGAGTTACTCTAGCTTTTTTACAAAGGGTTGGTACAACACTTGTATTAAGGCTCAAATTGACAATATGGGTCAGTGGTTCAACTATGTGTGGTACAGCTTGCTTAAGTAAAAATAGAGGCACATCGTCATATGAGGCCTTGTCATTCTTGAGCGTTTCGACATACATTAGGATATCAGTTTCATTTATTTCTTGGAATTTATCAAATGAGATGTTAGAAGTTCTAGGAGGTAAAAAATCAGTAAAACTAACTCTTTCAATATTAGGGGCCTGATTTTGTAATCTTGATCCAACATTTGCAAAATGAAAGTTAAATAGCTCAGGATCATTCTCATTGATAGTTTGACAATTAGTTGTACCAGGGGTCATATTTGATGCCAGTTTGATAGTTTTCCATATCCCTTTAAGATCATTCTTGGCACTTTTAACTTGTAGATCATCGATTACATTAGCCTTTTTGCAGGTTTTAGCTAATTTATTTCTCATATTTCTCTGAATCTTGTAGCAATCCCAGGCCTCATTACACTTTATACATTTGCTACATGTACCACATTTATTGCAATTTCCATTGTCTCTCTTATCCTTCTTTTTACGGAATTTCTTTAGAAGAAAATGTGTATGATTAATGGCATTTAAAAGTCCAGTAGAAGGTTTATGTATGAACTTTTCATGCCTTTCTATGGTCTTGCAAGGGAAGAAGGTTGCATATGCCTGTTCAATATGATGACAAAGGCCAGCAGTGATAGCTTCAACATCTGTACTTTCGAATAGTGGACTGTAATCAGAACAGGTATCTAGATAGTCTAAGAATTGTTTAACATGACGTTTACAATGATTTCTAATTTCAACCTTTTCAATTTAGGAGCTATAGGTACTTTACAATCTATCTCACACATAATAGCTTGATGATCCCCAATACGTTCATCAAGAACAGAAGATTGAACAAAATCTGCATAACAGTTAGTGAATATTACATCAATAGTAGTCTGGGTAAAATTGTCTCCACGTTTAGCAACTCTAGTTATCCCTTGAATGGTTTGAACTAGATTGTAACATCTCAAGGTCATATCTAATTTTTGTACTGGGTGGATGAGATATTATTCTGGTCAATGTTTATATCCCCAATCCAGATAACCTTTTTTCCCATTCAATTTTTTCATGCAAAAATGAATGTATTCAATAAAGTTATCAACACTGCAATAATTTCCAGAGCGATAGAAGCAGCAAACATTGATCTTGCTATTCTTAAGCTTCACCCATAATGCTTCAATGTTATCAAGCTTACTATCCATAACTAATTCTGTGTAAGCTAGTTTTTTGTTTATCATTAAGCCACAACCACCCCTAGAACTGTTTGGCCTGTCGCATCGCATAAGGTTGAAGGAGGAAGGAATATTTATGGTGTCTGTGTCAATAGTATCATTAAGATTCATCTCATTTAGGGAAAGTATGTCTAATTTATGATCTCTAATAAGTTGGGAAAGTTCATTACTTTTAGCTAAATTAAGAAGCCCTCCTTGAATGTTACAATGACCAATGCAGAGGTTGTGAAACCTATCAGCTGCATTATTAAAATTTGTCATCTTGTGAATCTTATTAATTCACAATGGAATGAATAAAAGTTGTAAAGTTGTGTTTAAACTAAAAAACAGAATAAAAGCAGGTTGTATTTGTCTGGATGTCGTACTGTAAAAATAAAACTGATGGTAGGAGTGTTATGTCAGTATTCAGCAGTATTCTAATGGTGTGCATGATACTTCAAGTGCCTTGCTAATTTAAATATGCCATAATCATTGAGATGGACATTATCCTCTCCATAACTACTAAAAAATGACGATTTTCTGAAGCCTTTCTTATCACTAAACAAGAAACGATTTGTCTCGGTTGAGAGCAGTTTTACATAGGTGTATTTTCTTTGCAGATTTGATATACATCCATTGATATCTGTTATAACCTTGTTTCTGGAGAAACTCTCCCGAGGTAATAAGTTAACAATTTTAATATCAGCTCCAGGTGCCCACTTGTGAAGGAAAAGTACAAGTTTTTCAATACAATTGTTTGTAAAGTCAAGAGCTCTAGCATCACCAGAAAAACTATCAGGGCACAGAAGTTTAGTCCTCATGTTGCGAGGGCTGTTCAGGATAGAGTCCACGTCATTTGTACCACACATAAGTACAATGCTTTTCACATTATTGGTATTAAGAGTGTCTTTTCTTACATCTGATTGAAACCGTTCATTGATTGCATTGGCTGTGGCACCAGGGTAGCTGAATACATGTGCCTCATGTTGTTTGGACGATAGCTTTTCTCCCTCTAATTTGGAGAACATACTAGAGCTAATGTAGACACACAAAGATTTACCAGAATGTTCTATTGATCTAGTCTTAGGGGCCGAGGGTTCAGTGTTCTTAACTTGACTGGAAACATCAGACAGAGTAGATAAGGTTGCGCTGCCATCAATTTGGCGCAGGGTAATGCTTATTCTCATGGTTTCAGACTTGTCCTGGATGAGGCTGTGTTCAAAGCTGGTCTGGGATTGTCTGGTCATATTCATTATGTCACCATGGGAGAGGGTAAGGTCAGCAATATGAGCTCTAAGTTTGGATCTGAAGCTTAGGACTCTAGTAGCCCCTAAAGAGATGGTGGAGATCATGGAGCCTGGTGAAATTGACCTCTCGTCATCCGAGTGAAAGGGAATTCCTTGCTGACCATTTCTATACTTGGTAATCATAGCACTATTGAATTTCAACTTTGGGAACTGTGAGCGTAAGCGTTCTAAAATAGACTTAAGGTAGGGATTGTCTGCTACTGGCCTTGTGTTATGAAAGCCTCCATTGTAAGCGTAGGGAAAGTCCCCATAATATGCAACTGTCCTATTCTCAAACTCATGAGTATAGTGGGTTTCTATATCTAACTTGGCAGTGTCAACAAACTGAAAAACTCCTCGACTCAAATCTTGGTATGGAATGATAGAGTTGGTCACACCATTGACACCATTTACAGAGTGTCTGGGATTTTCCGAATTGATAATTTCTGCTGAATGTTCACTGTCTTCTGCTAATTTGGATAGCTCTTGGGTTAACTCAGAAACAAGATGCGAGGATGAGCTATTACTGAGGGGAACTTTGATAGAATGTTCACAGTGATCAGGTACCTGGGGCAACACAGTGACAAGTGAACTATCGCTGAGGGGAACTTTGAGTGCACTGTCACTTTCTGATAATTGTTTATAGAGAATAGAAATTTGCCGACGAAGACGATCATTCTCTCTTAATAGAGTTAAACAATTTGAACATTTATCAGTAGGACGAGAGCCATTACTGGGGAATTTAACAGCATTCCCTCGATATCTCAGATTGTAATCTCTTGAGCCAAGTTCTGGTATTCTAGACATAGTTTATCACAAAAAGATGCTACTGTTCGAAATTTAGTTAATGATTACAGTACCTTTGTAGCACTCCGGAGGATAAGGATAAGTGATGTCTGATAATCTTTAGGTGATAGATGGGAGTAAACTGCTTTAAAAATCGATGTCTGATAGTCCTTAGGATGTCTTTAAGATAACTTTATCATGCAACAACCATTTACATTGACATACAACCTGTAATGGTCGTTACATTTACCGAGGCATTAGTTCCCACTGGGGGTCCTCAATAAATGTAATAGATTTGTAGTGTTGTAATTAGTTTAAAACTAGTTAGTTTAATACTCTGTTGACTGAGTTGTTCCCCAAACATTACAGGCTCTCTTATTGAAACCTCCCTCAAATGGTCTGTCAGCTGTTTTGGAAAAGCTAGTAAAACTCAGATTAACATGGAAGTTGGATAAGCGCCTATCAGGTAAACTCAATGTGTGACTGATAACAAAGTTTTTCGAGTGATGAGCTATTAAACATATTTCTACTGTTGGCTTCAATCCTTTTTGTGGTGTTTGCTTTTGTTATTTCTGTTCGTGCGGGAATTTTATAATAATCTTCATTGGGATTTATAATTTTTCTAATCATGTTCTATTGAAGCACAAATTCAGAGAATTTCTTTATTTTAGGTGCTACCATAATAGATGAACCCTTCAATGAAGTACTGGATTTGTTTATGAGGGATTTTGTTGATGAATGGTATAAAGGTATCAGCAAGGTACAGCTATCTAATTTACGTGGAATAATTGGGATTTAAACTTTTCAAGCATTTAAGTGTAGCATAGCCTTATATCTAAGTTAAAGTTTAGACGATAAGCTTTTCTAATTATCTTAAATATAGAGTGCACTTATTCAAAATGTGCAAAATTTTGATGCTTGCAAACTTGCATTCCTAACTTGAATTTGAATAATTTTTCATTCTCCAGGATGAAGAGTTTAAGTTTGAAGTTCGTAAAACTATACAGTCAGTTGTGGTTAACCTCTCTGCAAAGCTCAGAGATGTTGACTTCATTGCCCTCTCCACCGGACCCTTTCTCACTGATATGACATCACATTTGCGGTTAGTTCAAAGTTCACATAAACTGTTCAGCATAGATTTAGAACAATGACCCACGTTTTTCCAATTGACATGAATATACAATCTATCTAAATCATCGTTGCACCTCAGGATATTCAAAAAGACACAAGAGCGGTTACGAGTGTTTACTAATTACTCAGCACAGGACGAGATAAGAGTTTTCTTTGAATTGGAGAGTCAGTTTGGTGTTATTTGTACTGACAAAGAGGCTGAGGAGGTCTACGTCAGGTTAATTTTAAAATTTGAAGTTGATCAAATCACTCTCTTTTGTTTTTCTAATTTTGAATGGAATATTATATTCATATAATATTGTAAATTCTTATATCAGCATCTTGAAGTTGTTATCAAACTTATTTCTTCCCAGGAATTTAGTGGATATTCTCCTGTACCTATTACTACCCAAGCAGAGTTTCCAGTGTTATCCTATGAGAGTCCTGATCAGAGAGCTAGTTACTACCTGCTGCTTCATACCCACCATGGATGTATTATATTATTATTTATTATCTAACTTTTAAAACAATCTCGAAATAGTAAAGAAACATCTTAAGAGACTGATAAGTGCCCAAAAAAACATAACAGTTCTCTGAAAAAAAAGAGGTTAATTATGAGGTAAATAATTTTCTCCACAAAACTCTGTTAGAGGCAGTAGCCCTAAGATCATAAAGATCATTAATATCACGTAATGGTAGGTTTCTTTTATTCAAATCATTTATAATAAACTTTAAAAGATTACTTTGGTGTCGACCAACACGTCCTTTCATGGTAAATAACGCATTAACAGCAAATTGAAGAGCTCTCTGAGCTGGTGATGAGCAGTCACTGCGAAGGACATGTCCCAGCATTTTCCAGCGAGCATATGTCACTCGCTCTGACAACGGTGTTACACCACAGCGTTCATATAGTGCTTTATTACTGATAATAATGGGATAAGTCATCTTCAATATTTGACGCAGGTGTCTTCTATGACATGCATCAAGTTTGTCAAATAGGTTCTGAGGGGTAGCCCAGCTATTGCAGTTATAGAGCATAACAGATGTAACGTATGCTTCGTATATCTTAATCTTGGTCTTCAGATTAATCTTAGATCCTTGCATCCAAACTTTCTTGTATTTTTCGAATGCAACATTTCCAAGGATTATACGATGCTGTATGTCTTCTTTACTACATAGCTTAGAGCCTAGGGACACACACTTCCTCCAAGGTTCTCTATTTCTTAGAGGTTCTCCTTTTTCGTCCTTCTCACTACTTCCAGCCAGATAACACTTTACAAACTCGGTTTTAGATTCATTTACAAACAAATTCCATTCTGAGAGAATTTCCTTGCAAATTGGAAGGAGCTGGTGTAACGAATCCTCATCTTCATCAGCAAAGTCCACATCATCAGCATATTCCCATTCTAAAGGAAGGGAGCTTTCAGATATGGGGGGATTTGGGCGTAGATGTATAACAACAACTCTAAGGTGGTAGAGTGCTCCAGCTAGGTACATGGTAAACAGCGAGCCAGACAAACAGTCACCTTGAAAGGCTCCTATTGTGACTTCGAACTCTCCCGATGTCGTCTTTTTGATCTTAATTCTGAGCTTGGTGTTAGCGAGTAGATATCTAACTAGTCTTATGTCATCTTCTGAGCATCCTGCATCTTCGAGTAGCCTGAGGATAGTTGACCGATGTATTGTGTCGAAGGCTGATGACATGTCTATCCCCATTTTACTAAACTCCCAATGTTTCTCCTTGACAACAGAAATAAGAACCCTTTGTGTCCAGACAATATTAGAGCAGCTGTGTCCTGATTTATAGGCATTCTGCCATGGCCCAGTGTAGTCTGCTATCTGTTGTTGAATACGCTGGAGTGTTATCATGGAAAGGATTTTCCTAGTTCCATTGAGAAGGCATAAGGGACGCAGACTCTTAACTGGTCCTTTTGGTTTTCCAGGCTTCTGTAGGGGGGTAAGATATCCCTCAGTGAACGATTGAACGTGCTCTTGTTTTTCAAAGGACTCATTGATAAGTGATGCAAACTTCATGTAAAAAGAAGGAGGTGCATACTTAAGGAATTCGTTAGGGAGGTTGTCAGGACCATGGATGTAAGTTTTATTTTCAGTCACGTAGAATTTAATTCACATTAATTGGCTCACATTTAAACCTCTCGTTGTGACTTTTGATTGTTTTCATAACAGTACACTTTTCCAGTCAATCGTAGAGCCAGACTATGTGAACCAGTGTTTCATGGCGTGGCTAAAAGACGACTGCTTAACATCGGAGTCCTTCCTGGGTGCAATACACTGCTGCACTAGTCCTACTGAACTGGACCATTTGGAGGACAGGTTACAAAAGGTAATCTTCATTCCTCTCAGATATTTGATTAGGAGACAATTAGGAGACAATTAGGAGGCAATTAGGAGACAATTAGGAGACAATTAGGAGACACTAAAACTAGATAGAAGCATCAATAACTTGTCACAACTTCCTTGCTATGATGTTTTTCCTAACCTCAGTTTTGTAAGCCTTGCTTTTAGGACATTTCACGGCTACGAGCGATGGACGGTGGGAATATAACAAACTGGAGACAACAGCTGGACAGCTTGATGTATACTCTTCGTCAAGTCAGCATCAGATATCAGGTAAGACTGCAGCTCACTTAGATTGTAATGCATATTTTTATTTTGTGATATTGGTGGTGTTCTGATGTTAACCGGTAAGATTCCGACAGACGTGATTGATCTGATTTAAATTGCAATCTCGACTAAAGACTAATTGCAAAATATTATGTTTCGAGAACTTACAAAAGATGTTCTATTCAAATCTTATGCGATCTCTCCTTCCGGATCCTATAAATCTAATCTGGATAAATGTCTTCAGAACGTGTTTGAACCCGGATCTGACCCAGACAGCACAATGCACAGTACCCATAACGACGCAACCCAACCCTTCCCCACCAACAAACCCTGTCCAAACATACCCCTCAACTTCATCCTGGGTAACAGCATTTCTCTCAAGTATTTCATTGACTTTATGAACCACATCAAGGCTGAGAAATTCCTCTACATGTGGCTTTCTGTCGACTGTTTCAGGTTCGTTCATCATAGTTAATCAGGCTAATTAGGTTTGTTATGTTAATTATAGAACCTTACTTCACGTTAAATCATTTGACGGATAGTGAAAGAAACTACAGACCACCATTGCATTGAACAGCTCTAATAACGTTGGTTTGTAATGGTTTTAGGTAAGCTTACAAAATATCAGACTGCAGAAAATAATTATCGGAACTAAATCAATCATAGTGTGTGTACTCTGTTTAATGATAAAATATTTCCATTTTCTCTAATAATTGTCGATAAATATCTCTTTCTAAACAACAATCAAGGCTTAAACAATCGCCCGATTATATCTTATATATAATAGTTAACTTCTAAGCTGTCCATTGATCACTTTATCGTTATCATTTAGAGATGAGCTGAAGAGCAGAGTAGACATGGCGGCTGCTGATGGAAGGATTATCAGTGACGCGGAGGAGAACATGTTCAGAAAGGTTAGTTGCTTAGTCTCACTCCTTATTTTAACAGGCACTGAAATTGATAACGACATGATGAGTAACTGTTTTAAGGTGTATGGAAAGGAAATATGTGCCATGGTAATAATAATTAACAGTATCACTGTATCAGGCACCAGTTTCACTTGAAACTTAAAATAAAATAGGGTGGAAGTCATAAAATATTACCAAAATGTAAAATATGTAATGTGGATAAACTGAGAATAAAAAATGTTAAACGAAATGTTACCAATTCTTAAAGTGAAATTTCGTCCAAAGTTGCCACTTCATTTGAATATTCAATATTTTTTCCGAAGTTTTTCTCAATTATGAAAGAAAATCTAAATTCGGAATTTGGTTCCTATCTGCATTCTTAAAATTGTCGGAGATGCTGTATGACCTAATTTTTCGTACGCAAATCGAACGAGCTTGACGGCTTGCATCTATGAAAAGGGGACAATTCAGTTTGGAGCCTCTGAACTTCTAAAGCATTTATAATCGTTTTCTGGACATGCAGTCACGATTTTTACGGTTGTCCCAAAAAATAGTATTGTAACTCCATATTTAAATATAAAATGAGTATATATTTTGAACGATATTGTCTGATATTTTTCTCTATCAATGTTTTTTAATTGCAGAGGTATACGACTCGTACGTATCCTCCAAAATAAAACAATTGTTTTAGAGTCTCTGAGGCTACTGAGGCATACCATTTTTTAATGGTTTTCTGAGCACGTTGTCACGATTCAACACCCTAACATGATACAGGGTTTATGCATATAAAAGAGCATAAATTGTATGATGTTTATTTTTCCCGCTCCATAAACTGCAACTGTTTGCTAACCTAGGGAATCAGGACTGCTGAGCCTAGAAAATAACAATGCTTTCCAAGCCTAGCTATAGTCACTCCGTTTCACTGATCTTAACTACATCATTATGGATAGCTTGTTGGTTCTGGTGCTCTGATGGCCATATGGTGAACTTTACAACCTTAACAAGTCTGTTGAACAGACAAGATGGACGACCCTACTCTTTTTTGAACGACTATTTGTTATCTAAAGTGTATGAAGAGCTGACGTGCACCGGGCTGGCACAATGGGCTTTCTCCCGTGCCATCAGAGAACCAAATCTTTGGATTAAGCCTGATCGTAACATGGCAGGTTACTATATGTGCATTGAAGGTAATATTGGCGATAGAGGCTGTGCCATACCGACTAGCTGGGAGTGTGATGGGTTCTCTAGCTGTCTGACAGACGAGTGTGGGTGCGGAGAGGACACGTTCAAGTGTGCTGATGGTAACGGCTGTATAGCAATCAGCCAGTTGTGTGACAGTAAGTTTGATTGTCTTGATTACAGTGATGAGTGTACATGTCATGATTACCAACATTGTCGGAGGATTATTCATTTTAACAAGGAGACAATTGATGCATCAAAACTTTGCTTCATTATGCCAAATTGTTCAAGAACGTTAGCTAAAGAAACTGCCAAGTCAAACGAACTGTCAAAGTTGACTGGAATACTGGATGTAGTCGTCACAAACTTTCCATCAAAAGAGCAGACTTTGGATATTAGAAAGCAAGCTGAATTGGCAGATTGCGAACAAAACACGACTCTGGGCTTCCATTGCAAAAGAATTATGTTTGAGCCAGAAAGTGACTCGACTTACAGCTGCTCGGAGAATTCGTCGATTGAAGTGACTTACGACAGAAAGCAATCCTCCACTTCTAAAGCGACGTTTGTGTTCTGTGACAGGATAAAAAACTGTAAAAATGGTATTGATGAACAGCACTGTCCTGGTACATTTTACTGCAAATCAAACCAGCTTCCTGTCCCGGAGGAGCTAACCTGTGACTCTATCCCGGATTGTTCTGATTCCAGTGATGAGTGTGATAACTGTACCATGTCCTCCTACTTCTCCTCTCAAACTAGCCTGGTAGCCAGCAAGACCATGATAATCTTCATGATGATAGAGACTCTGGGAATACTGTGTCTAAATGCATATGCTCTTGTTTATCACCTCAAGAGATACAAGAAAGGAAGCAGCTCATCTCTTAAGATAGATATTGTACACTGTGTCACCTTGGCATTGTACGATGTGATGCTAGCAGTATACTTGGGGATAGTCTGTTGGAAGCACTGGGAGTTTGAGGGGGAATACTGCTTGCATGATGTGTCCTGGAGGTCGTCAGTACTTTGCAAGGTTACAGGTGCTATAGCGTTTGCCTCCACACATGGAGCGCTACAAGTTGTTGTGGCAACCAGTTTATATCGTGGCTACACAATCTGCATTAGGGGAATTGGAGGTCAAGAAATAAATTTCAAACTTTTCTCAGGGCTGTACATCACCATGAATATGTTTAATGTAACAATGGCTGTTTTGCCTCTGATTGCTACTTTCAGCCATTTTCCCTTGGCAGATGCTTTTGTCCATGAGCATTTCTTCAAAAGTAACCCTCTTATCAGAAGGGGAAGAAAGGCAGATTTAGCGCTGCTGGTCAGCCTTTACAAAAGGTTGGATCTCAACACCACTCTGCAGAACACAACTACTGATCTGTTCAAAGTGCTGAGGAACATGACCTGGAAAGGCGATTTGTTCTCCCCTGACAAGATTACTTCAGTCGGCCTCTATGGAGCATCCTCCATGTGCTTTCCTGACTTATTCTCCACTGAGGAATCATTGCTTACATACAAGATAATCTATGTGTTGGAAAACTCAATTTATTTACTTCTGACAGTAATTAGTTATCGTTTCATAATTGAAGAATTCTTCAAGTCCAGGGCTGCGGTAAATTCTGGAAATAACCAGAATCCTGGTAACGAGAATAATCGGGATGCTGACCAAAAATTCTTCCTCTCCTTCAAAGTTTCCATCCTAATTGGACTACAACTTGCTTGCTGGCTACCTGTTCACGTAGCGATGATCGCTAGTTTAATGGAACATACCCTTCCTCCTGGGACAATTAACATTATTACTATGACTGTAGTGCCACTAAATGCTCTGATGAACCCTATACTACACACAGATCTGCTGAAGAGATCCGTGCTCCATCTTGTACCAATGAGAGTGAAGCACGTGAAAGAGTTCATTTTCCGGGCATCTTCCGATCCCCAAGAAACTTCTGGCAACAGCATCGGTCAGTTGGAGTTGGAGGTCATTCAACCTCGCAACCTAGATGACAAGCAAAATCCGGACACTATTTCACCAGATCTTTAGCCAAGATTCTGATTGCAACCCTTCTTTGCTAGATTGGTGACCCTTGACCGAGTACCGCTAGAACTCCTGCCGTTAAATGTCTGCTTTGATCTGATCAGGAACATTTCTGTAGTTATTGCTGAAGACTGGAGCGTGGACAAGGTTGTACCTAGTCGTAAAGAAATTACACTGGTTTGAAACTGGAAATCAAATCTCAATCTTCTTCAAAAGCTTCTACATGACATTTTGGGGTCTAATGTGTGAGTTGGTCTCAAAACCTATCATCTCGACATGATCATAATTTGAGTCGATCAAATACACAGTAAAAAGCAACAACAAAGTTCAATCTGCATGAAGATCGACATTAAGGGGGCATACACCAAATCTGTCCAGACCAAATGACCTCATAGGCAGTTCAGTGACCTTCTAGCGCACCGTTTCCACACCAAAAAAATTATTTTGAGAATACCCATTTTTGTAATCGAGCATTTCCTGGTTGAGAGTGCAATTTTCGGAAAAAATTATTTTGTGGTTGAGACGCTATAAGTAAATAATTTCTTGCGGTATCGGGTTGAAATTTTGCTCGCCGTTTATTCACATCTATTTCAAGGTGTGTGTAAAATCTTGATATCGTATCTAAAAAGGCTGGTGTGTTATGAATTTTTAAAGTCAAAAAGCTAAAATTGTCCTTTTCAGGCTTATTTTAACAAAAAGACAGTCAGGGAAGATCGGATTGATTTGATGCTTGACATCAAATTGTTCTCTGAATTCTGGCGCAGTTTTTGATGCCCTCAAAAATGTTTTTACTCATTCAGCTTCAGATCTATTGGACCTCAAAGCCAAACAACAAATTTAGGCACATTTTTCGTTTTTAATATTTACTGATTTTTCTAAAATTTTGATAGGAATGTGCTAGTGACTTTTTGAAGGGTGCAAAATAACCGCAACTAGCACATTTATATATGAGTTATGAACAACAAAACGCCCTAAAATGCTTCCCTTTGAAGTTATGGGAGAAAATGTGATTTTTTGGCTTTGCTCGATTACAAAAATGGGTATTCTCAAAATAATCTTTTTTGGTGTGGAAACGGTGCGCTAGAAGGTCACTAAACTGCCTATGAGGTCATTTGGTCTGGACGGCACAAACCACTGTTTTGGTGTATGCCCCCTTAAAATGACACATTTCTGCTCGGACACGCACTGGACAGTGCTATTTTCGATTTGGGCTTCTCTGACTAGTTTCTGGCTGCTTTTTGTTGATTTTTGGCTTTTTTAGACAGTTTTAAAAATTTTTCTCTCCATCCAGTACAAGCAGAATGTTTATCTATTTGTTAGAAACAATGAGACAACTTTTATTTTAAAAAGTCAATTTTGTACAAAAAAAGGCAAAATGTGTCCTAATTGGCCCATGAAATTGGAATTTACTGGACGCATTGTGTTCTCTAGCTGTAACCGAATTGTATTTACATCCTCAGAGGGGACTTCTTAATGTCTTCTTAAGAAAAGTTGTCCTAATTTAACCAGTTATCCATAAATTTGGATTGGGAAAAATAAGTTGAATAGGTTGCCCCCACCCCCTCTCCCCTAGTTGAATAAGTAACAAACCTGTGTTTCCCATCAGGAAGCGAAGAGGATCTACCTTGAAGGACTCTCAGAGGATGCACCTAACAGGATCAACGACATCGACAGTAGAGTGGTAGCTAGACTAGAAACTGCCATAACCTCCCTTCCAATCACTCCTTTCTTGTTCGACGAGGTTAGAAATGTTTGTTTTCTTGAGAGTTGGTTAGTTTTGTGGTTATATATTATATAAGCATGTGTTTGTTTTGAGGTTTTATTGACCGGTTACAAGGTTTTGAAAGGCCCTAGCATTTCAAAACATTGTAACTTAATCACCTCAAAACGTGGCCTACCAAGTTGGTTAACTCTTCATTTAATCTCACCTAATCTCTGACATGTTCGCGCTGTATCAACAATACTATCATGTGACCAGTCACGTGATCCCTGACACGTGATACTCTCTGTGCCCACGTGGTGAAAACCATCGATACATGTCACGTGCACAACAGTTCCACGTAGCTGCTCCTCACTGTCACTGCTCACTATAGAGTTGGGGATGTTCACGGGTCCACAAGTCGGAATATCAACTGTTATAGGGGGAATATTAATTAGCATTGCTATCATGTTTAAGCCGATTTAAAAATGTATAAAATCAGAATAGGTCGAGCATAAAGAAGTGAGGGTGACTGTTCAAGTGTTTAACGTTGTTAAAAAGGAGTATATATAACAGCATTTTACGAATAATAACAGTGTACCTATATAACATACCACAAGTACTCTGTTCTACATTCGGTTCAGTTCCCTCTGTAGCACACTTTGAACACGTGTCCATATCTGAACTCCTGTACTCTCCCACTGGACACTTGTCTGGAACAATTTTATTAACAAAACTAAATAAAAGTAAGATAGTTATTGATTATAGTTGTGATTAATTAGCTTTATAATGCAAATACAATAATTTAGATAAGTTGGTTCGTACATTCGCCTTTTAAACCCCACCAATGTTCAGGAGTTGTCGACTGGGGTACTACATGTTAGCAACTTCCATAAGCATGCTAATTATTTCGTCGAAATGCATGACGTGTCACAATTAACTAAGCTAGGAAATATATTGTCAATCCTCAAATCTCGAGTCTTTGAAGATAATGATGGATCCACGTCAGCCGAGAATTTACAGAATTTGATGTACTTTTTCTGACTAAAGAAAAGACTTTATATATCGCCTAATTTTAAATAGCGGCTTAAATGTTTTGGAGTTGACAGATATTCGAAATTCATTGATTGATTAATTAGAGATCACAGTTTCATTTCATAGCCGATAATAGATTCATTGGTAGGAAAATAATAGCTTTTCTAAGTTTAGTTTTGAAAGGTTCGGAAGCTCGACAGGGGGGGACAAGAACGGTTTTGTTGTTTTTAATCTTGATAATTTGCCAATGATCTGCCACAACGCATGATGCAATTTGATGCAAAAATGTTTGTTTGTGTCGATGATGGGCTTCCCTATGGTGTGATTTGATTCGCCAGAATAAATGAATGGTCCAAACTGTCGACAATTTTACATATTTTAAATTTTAAGAAGTAAAGCAGCCTTTTTTTCTTTTTTTATCAGACACATTCTTAATGCAACCATGTTAGCTGCCGTCGTCCTAATTGCAGCTCTTGCTGCTGCCAATGCGATTGATACGCTCCACCAGAGGAAATCATCTAGTCTACAATACGACCTACCCGGTATCCCCCCTCATTCCAGGCGACACCCCTTCACTGGAGGCCTCTGTGAAAACACTGCTGCCTTTGCTTTGACAGGAGCTCTGGAGATCGGGTACCAGAAATTAACAGGGAAGACCCCGACTAAGTTATCAGAGCAGGAGATAATCGACTGTTTCTACAGTGGATGTTCTGATGTTCAGATTGATCATCTGGTGAAATGGGTCAATGTTCAGCAGAGGTTGGCTCCAGATGATTTGTACCTGCCCTTTCAAGGTGGTGCCCTTGCTGAATCCTCTATTTGTAGGGCGGCTCAAGCTCCTAACGGCTTGCAAGTCCAGCTGAATCCCATCCATGTAGGAGAACAGTCAAGGATGCTGCCTGAAGAAGTGGATGAATGGCTGGAGAAATCAGGTTTTGTCTTTGCAAAGATGAGCACGGACGAAATGAAATGCTCGTACCTACAAAGAAAGAGCAAGCTGGTTGAAGATTGGGATGCGTACACTGCCAAGTACTTTGACAACGACCAAGACGGCCTCATTGATGGATACTCCTCCTGGTTGACTGGTGAGAATGGTCACGTGATCAACGGTAAATCTACAATTTTCACACACATCAACGTCCTGATAGTTGGTACACATAAAGACGAGTCAGGGACAGAGTATTACATAGTTCGGGACAGCAGGGGTGACACTTGGATGAGAAGAGGTCATTTCCTCATCCCTCGAGGTGGTAATATTTGTGGTATTGAGAACAACCTAAAGGCTGCTGAGGTCACCTTGGTTGATGACAAAGCAGGCTATGATCCGGTTACAAAGTGTCCAGTTCACTCACCAAAATGGTGTAAAAGTACCTACACGTGCACAAAAGCGGACCAAGAATGTGTCTCTAACGAAGGTCCACTTGTTGAGGGATATGACCCAAAAACATCGGCTCCAGCCAACAAAAATAAAGTTTGGGACTTTACTGGACGTCCAGAATGTCTTGACACACCAGGATTTGAGTTGACATGTGCCGAACAGGGTAAGAAGTGGGAAAACTGCAAGAATGAAAAAATAAAGAAAATCTGTGCTGGAACCTGCTTGGTATGTGCACGTGATTCTTGTAAAGACAACGAGAGCTTCACGAAGGGAGACTGTTCCAGCTATTTGAAGTTGTGTGGGATTAGTGCAGTGATGGCATTGTGTCCCCACACCTGCCAGTTCCACCCCAGTGACTGTGGAACTTTGGAGCACAATGTTAACGTCCTTGCGGGAGTCGGAGACCCTCCAACTGGAACGTGTCACCTTCCAATTATAGAAAATGGTAGGGTTCTGAACAGAGGCATGCTGCAAAATAGGGAAGTTTTGGAGGTAGAGTGCAACTCTGGGTACCGTCTAGTTGGGGCTGAGAACCACTGTGTTGTACAGGATCTTTACGGTCCTGACAGTAGGATCTTGCAGGCATGTGTGCAGATAGATGGTGGTGATTGGAGTGGCAATGGAAAGAACTACAACGGCCCGAAAGATGAAACTGTGAGCTATCCTGCTTTGAAGTGCCTCAACTGGCAGGCAGTGGTGGCCAAGGGGCTGTTCGGTTACGTCAATGAAGATTTAGTTGAATATGGTAAAGCTGCCATGGCTCATGGTTCAAATCTGAATCATAATTACTGCAGAAATCCTGAGGGCGTGGCTCCTGCTCCGTGGTGTTTCAGCAATGACGTTGACTTATCTAAGTACGGTGAGCTGGCCATCTCATTTGTAGGGATGGACGCTCCTGAAGACGGAGTTATCACGGCAGGTCTAGCGGAGATCCTGTTCTGTGAAGACTTACCGAAGTGTGGAGGTGACTACTGCGCTAACCTGCCTCCTGACGACTGGTTCTGTGCCACCATGGGTGCTTCTCCTTCAGAATGCTCTTTGGAAACTGCTGGTGGTATTTGGATGCAGAGCGTCTGTCCTAGGTTGTGCTGTATAGAAGCGTCTAAATGTGAGGAGACGCCTGGATTTGGGGAAGTCCGTGAAGCTCCAGCTGATCTCTTCCCAGAGGAAGATGATGGTGGTTTTGGAGGAGATGATGGTGGTTTTGGAGGAGATGATGGTGGTTTTGGAGGAGATGATGGTGGTTTTGGAGGAGATGATGGTGGTTTTGGAGGAGATGATGGTGGTTTTGGAGGAGATGATGGTGGTTTTGGAGGAGATGATGGTGGTTTCGGCGGGGACGATGGTTTTGGTGGAGACGACTTCGGCGGAGACGACTTCGGCGGAGACGACTTCGGCGATTTTGGAGATTTCGGTGATTTCTGAGAAGACTTTAAAGGAGAAGATTTCTCATTTCAGTAATGAAAGTTTCGGAATAATTGATTTAAAATAACCTTTGAAATAAAGGAGACACTTTATAATCTCGCAAATGGACGATTGTCATAGGTTGTATTCTAAGCGGAAAGTTATTCTTAACGCGGTTTTTATATTAACATGGAAGTTCCTACTTCCATAAATTTTGATTATGTAAATTTGATAATTTAGTTATAATTATTGGTATTTATTATACTAAATAATTACTAAAAAAATTTCTCTGATTAATGTAAAATATCATGTTATTTGATGATAAACAACATAAAAGATTAAAGAATCAACAACTTATGGTCAGCCTTATTTCTTAAACGTAAACGCGCGCCTGAATCAAATAAATCTAAAATGTAACACACCTAATGGAACAGAAACAGAATTATATCATAGATATAAGTTACTCACCACATCCGGTTCTCAGAGAGTTAGCCGCTGTTCCGGCCCCACATTCCGCACATTCCGAACTCCCTGTGCTACTAGCGTACGTATTGAGAGGACAGCCCGTACAGACAGTCAGGTCAGAGCTCCTGTACGTCCCAATCCTACACTCAACTGAAGTAGATATTTGTTGAGAGCTAATACAACCGGTCTCAGCTCAGCACATAAAATCCTTTAAATGTAAATAAAAATGAACTCAGTTTCTAAACACAGTGTAGCACGTTATCATTAAATCTCTCTCCCACTGATTCAAACCTGAAGCTACCCTCCAAAATAAAAGTAATGATTACTTACTACACTGCCACCTCGGTTCATCGGCTACAGCCCCATCTGAACACTTCGGACAGTTCTCGTACAATATACTTTCTCTGTAGGGTGCAATACTGTTCACAGCACATTTAGCGCACTCTGACATTGTACTGTTTCTGTAGTGCCCTGGTCTGCACATCGCTGGGGGAATCTCGCGTTAGTTATTAGTTATTACGTGTTACAGTGGTGTTACAGTGGTGTTACAGAGGTGTTACAGTGGTGTTACAGTGGTGGTACAGTGGTGTTACTGTGGTGTTACTGTGGTGTTACTGTGGTGTTACAGTGGTGTTACTGTGGTGTTACAGTGGTGGTACAGTGGTGTTACAGTGGTGTTACAGTGGTGTTACAGTGGTGTTACAGAGGTGTTACAGTGGTGTTACAGTGGTGGTACAGTGGTGTTACTGTGGTGTTACTGTGGTGTTACTGTGGTGTTACTGTGGTGGTACAGTGGTGGTACAGTGGTGGTACAGTGGTGTTACAGTGGTGTTACAGTGGTGTTACAGTGGTGTTACAGTGGTGTTACAGTGGTGGTACAGTGGTGTTACAGTGGTGTTACAGTGGTGGTACAGTGGTGGTACAGTGGTGTTACTGTGGTGTTACTGTGGTGTTACTGTGGTGTTACTGTGGTGGTACAGTGGTGGTACAGTGGTGGTACAGTGGTGTTACTGTGGTGTTACTGTGGTATTACTGTGGTGTTACAGTGGTGTTACAGAGGTGTTACAGTGGTGTTACAGTAGTATTACTGTGGTGTTACTGTGGTGTTACAGACGTTTCGACAAGATGAGACGTGCGCTTTCCCCCTGGCTATTTAAGGAACTGATTGTGCTACAGATAAATAAATACCTCCTGTTTCGGTGATAAATATCTAATATGTGAATTTTGAAAAGCTATGTTATTTCCTGGAATTTGGGGTAACAAATAGTAATCTATTATCTTACTACATGCTGTAGCTGTAGGGTTCAACTCTTCTCCAAGTTTACAATCTGATATTGTCACTATTTCAGTCGATATCCCTGAGATTCAGAACAGATTCAAACTAAGCTCATGATAAATATTCGTAGTGGTGTTTTATATGTTTTATAAATCACAATTTGTTCAAGCAAAGAGTTTGATAAACGAGTTTGATATAAAATATTGCTCACCTGCTATCAGCCACCAAATTAAAATGAACAACTGTTTGTTAAACATCGGTCTAACGTTCCTTCTTTGGTACGTGAACTTCAGCTATCTACAAAGAAATATTTAATTCAACATAATCAATAAATGTTAATATTTGCAGGTACAAGAGGGAATATACAACATACTGAACAAGGATAAGAAGTACTACAACACTTTTAGAAAGAGCATGCTGTACTACCGGTGCCTTACTGAACTCGACTTAAATCAGGTACGGTGAAATATATCTTGTTTATTATAGTGAAACGGATCAAACACAATAAAACGGATTGGGTAAGCCTTAACGGATCTGTCGTGAAACGGAAACAACCAATGTACGGTGAACAATTTGGATCCAGGGAATTTGCATTTGGTAATACCGTACGATACAATGTGATATTTATTGCTGTTTATAGTGTTTTCTTCATAATACAACGAGTGTAGTAAGTTCAATAATAAATGCAAACTGACAACAAAATGGGAAATCAAATGCGGTTTGAAGTTCTCTGCAATGACCTTCACAAAAATGCTCAACGCTAGTTATGAAATAAATAACACGTTCTCAAAGATAAGAACTACAAGGTGCCAAGTTTAAAACAATACGTTATATAAAACAACAACAATATAAGCTTGGCGTTTATCCTTTGTCACAGCTTCTATCTTACAAGTTACAGTTACAGATACCTCGTAATAGCATTGTAAACGGTCCACATCAACCAAGTAATAGAGTTCCTTAGCCCCCACGTGACTATCCCCTTGGTAACCACGTGTCACCTTGGTAACACCACGTGCTACCTGAACTTGTAACATGTGTTAACTTGCATACCCCACTGAGCCCCCATTAACGACAGTTACCTCCTTATCTTGCCTGCTCGGGGCAGCTCCGTGAGATAATACACTAGACATTACTATTGTCGTTCAATATAGATTCAGCTTAAACGGCTAGTATTTAGCAAGAGCTTAGGGGAGAGCCGTGTGGAGCGCTCTGACGGATAGTCATATAACACACATAACCCCGGCATGCGCAGGGATTATATTTCAATTTTTCCCGCGACGCGCGGGAAAAATTTATAATAATTTCGAGTGCGAAGCACGAGGGATTATTATGAAAATAACCCCGACGTGCTTTAGCACGAGGGGTTATTTTAATATAACTTAAGCGTGCCGGTGTTATGTGTTATAAACCCCTCCGGGTTAGTGCTAGGACCAACAAATTTGACATTTTACTCTTAATTCTAGCCATATGAGATCAGTATGGAAAATATGAAATGGAATTGGGGACTACCAAATTGAAATAAATACAACTAAGGTACTATGACATTTGAAATTGGCGTTATATCTAAACATTATTCCTCAGTCAGAAGTACGTTGAATGAATATGAATATCGACTTAAAGGGGCGTCGAGTTAAGCCTGGCAAGCGATAAAAGGTGGAGCTAATAATGATATCGTGTCATGAAGTTCATCAAAGTAGACGACTATAATACATGGCTTATAGTTATATCAAACACGACAAAATTAACCGGACAAAATCAAATGTAACCGTCGAGACAAGTTCTGGAACTGGTCCTATTATTACTGGGCCGCGCTCAGCCTGTCATTCCGCCAAATCTATATATTATGTTAATGAACATAATAGCCTGGGGTCCTCAGGTAAGTCCTATTAATGTAAGAGTTTAAGTAATGTAAGCAGTGTGCTGGAGTTTTGCCAGCGCCTGCAATTAGACCGATACGTAGATCAAGTGTATTTATAGTTCTTACGTTAAGCCATAGGTCACGTGACATTTTTTACCAATGCGCGTCGTAGTAGTTAGTCACGTGATACACGTCATCAAAACACGTGACAGTGCGCAGTTGAAATTCTCATGGAATATCAAAACAAAACAAATCTTGTTGAGCCAAATTAGCGGGGCGGGATTATAGAAGTTGTGCCGGGGTTATTTATTCAGCGGGAAAAAACTAACAGCGGGAGGCGGGATTATCAGAATCTATTTAGCGGGAGCCGGGATTATCATAATCTTATTCTATCCCGGAGGGGTTTATAATATAGGACCCTCACCTCGCCAGGATGGCGTTTCTTTGATCCCCTTAAACAATAAACAATAAACATGAATAAAGATTTAAGGTGGCCATGTCTGAGCAGGTATACGTACCATAGTTCGACACGCACGGAAGTTCTAAGCAGCTAATCTCTAGTATTATAACTAGACTATTTGAGGTGTTAGACTCACTAAACATAGTCCCTTCTAACTGTGAACTTTGAGATTTTGAATATTTGGAGATAAGCCAAGTCTAGATAAGCACTGCATCGACATGGTCAGGGCTGCGATACGGTCAGAATTCTCTTTAGAATAATGTGAATAATGCACCGTCATGACTCATTATAATATTATGCTTAAATTCATAGAAAGTAAACCTTATATTACAGTAAAAGTATATAACCTTAGCAGTAAAAGAAAAGCTTTTGTTCAAAAAGAAATTAAAGAATTCAAATTAAGTTCTAGTAGATAAGAACGGCCAGGTAGCGCAGTTGGTTAGAACGCCAGCTTTGCAATCGTGAAGTTGCGGGTTCAAATCCCACTGTCTGCCTGGTCGTGGGGTGAGCGTCGTTGACGTTCAGCTAAGGATCCTGAGTGGTCTACGCAGCCCCCGGTCTACTCAGCCGAATACTCGAGAAATCGGGTGTGAGGGTTAAATGAGGAGCTGCACATTGCAGCAAAGTCTCGGGCGAAGAAAGTACGGTACACACTACCTTAACCGTCACTGGCTAAAAACAAATCCTTCGGCTTCCTGTAATTGGCTGGTTGCACATGTGTAACAATGTGGCTGTTGAAATACTCCGAAGTAAAATAAGTGTCTTGATAAAAAAAAAGCAGTGACCGAGAATTATTATACGCTAGGAACACTAATGACATGAGACAGGCAGCATTATTATATTATTATGATACTATTATGCAAAGAATGATGATAACATTATGTTAGGCATAACAAAGACATGATGGTTAAAAACGTAATAATATAATAGGTTGAATTCTATTTTATTATGTTAGATTCGACAGCTGACGCCTTCCAATTCGTCTAATTACGTTTTGTAACAGTCGTCAGCTTGAACAAGCAAACACGCGACTTAAGGTTGGGAACACGTGTGACGTGATATAAAGCTGAAAACACACGACACAACATTATCTCATTAGTATTCAAAACAAGGACGAGTTCCGCTAGTAACTTAGTAAGCAGCCAAATAGGAGGTGACGATATAAATGACAACCTTACATAACGTATTGATTCTGGTGTACTGATACGAATGAAATGTGTCAAGCCCAAACTTTGATGAGGTGACAATTGACCAATGTGTATAACTTTAACCGTAGTTTTAACACATAATATTAAAATTACATAAAGCAGTGCGCGTTATCAGTGCGCGTTATCAGTGCGCGTTATCAGTGCGCGTTATCAGTGCACGTTATCAGTGCGCGGTACTGATATGATCTTAGCACCTGCATCTGAATCGGAACTAGACCAAAAGTAATTATGATAATTCCTAATCCGGCTTAAAGAAAGCAACCTTGAGGAAAACCCAATACAAGGCATGAAAATATTTACAATACACATCAAAGACTCTGTGAATATTTCAAAGTTTTAAAATATTGATCTCACACATAAAAATTGAACAAAACAGCAAAACCCCTCCTCAGGACCAACTAGACGAAATGTCTCCAGAAGAGCCGTGTAGTTCATCAGCCTTTAAACCCGTGGCTATCTCACCTAACGGCAGATTCAGTGCAGACATTCCACACGTCTCAATGGTGGGCAAAGACAAGGTAATTAATAGGGTAATTAATGGGGTAATTGATAGGATAATTAAATAATTAATAGAGTAATTAATGGGATAATTAATGGGATAATTAAGAGGATAATAACATATTGTTACCGAGTAATATTTTTATGGGAAGAATGCTGAATGCTGAGAGCAAAATTCCATCATCATACCACTGAGCATATTATTCTGCTCCCTAAATTTTACAATATTTTTACAAACGGAAGGAAACAAACAGTCAATTAAACTACGTTACAACGGTTATTAAGTTGTTGAGTCAGTTGTTGGATAATTGTTAGCACTACAAAGGTGTTTGTAAGTTTCCATGAGGCGTCATTGTTATTCTACCAATTAAATAACACTTGAACACTGAACAGCGCTCTGGAATGTTAATTGTACTTACAATTATGACAATAAAGTCTTAAATATAGAAATGTATAGCATATTAGTTTATATTAAGAGAGCGCTGTAGCATGGTGATATGAGTATGGGGGAGAGGTGACGTAAATGTCGTTTTAAATGTCGAAAGCTGTTTAAAAACTAGCAGGAAATGGATAAAGTTCGCATAATCAGCATTTATATGTACCTTAAATGGGGTTATGTCATAAGCGTATCATGGCAACATGCTAATCTGCCAACGAACAGTCCATGCACTCTTGATGAACGATCGGATCACTCGACATACAGTTGACGCATGCTCCATGCACGGTTTGCACTTTGCACACTGTTGACTGGCCAACACACATTGAATGAAGGGTTAGCGTGCAGTGCAGTGTGCACTTAATGGTTGCTTGATGTACGGTCTACGCACGGCTGATCATTAATTGCCCTGTAATTTCCCCTCTCCCAGCAAGGACAAAAGTAAATCGCGATTATTTAGGCCAAAAATCGCGGCGCCGCGACAAGGTGAAATCGTGGTGAAAATCTCGAAAATCGCATCAAAAGATAATGTATTTGCACGAATAGAATTATGAATTAGGGGTAGACTGGTTTGTAGGGTAATGACTTGCTAGTTCTCTAGTTGGTTTGTGTGTACGACTTAGAGGTGGCTACTAACTACTTAGAGGTTGCAGCATGTTGCCAGCATTGTGGCATCCTTTGTATAAGTTTTTCACTATCATGTTCATCATGTTCGTAGAAATATTTCCTTTACCCTCATGAGTTTTAGTCCATATTGTGTTCGCAAAAGTATGTTATAAAGTTATAATATAGATTAACTGTCTTAACAATTGATCAATTTTCTCATTGTTCCAAATCTTACTTACGTAACAAATTTGTCGCGGAAAATGGGAAAAATCGCGATTCCGCACGTGCCGCGATTTCCTGTTGACCTTGTCTCCCAGTTCTTTCATCTCTCCACTCTACAACTATCATGCAGGGAACACAACTTGACACAGTTCCCCCTAAATACGATCACTGCGGGACAGCTGGTCACGTCTCCACTACCTGCTCCAGGACCTCTTACATTCCTGACCTTCCATCCTTAACGTGCAGTGATTGTATCCGGACAGCTCAGTTCGGAGTGGTTTCAGTGACGAGCCTGACGATCACCAGATCATCATTGTTTTGAACCCTTGTTCGACCCACTGTACTCCTGCTGTGAGACCCAGTCCATCCAATCCTCTAGTCTGCTGATTGCTTCTGTTCCTTCAACAATTAGTTCTAACCGGCCTTCTGCTGTGGCGTGTGTTGCATCCTCCTCTTCTTCCAGTCATTCACCGTCTACCAGCTACAACAGATCTCAACCACTCTGATGGTCCTGTGGTCCCTGCTTTGGTTCCTGTGCCTCTATCTCCTCCCGCGGTACCATCAAAGTTCCCTGTACTGACTGCTCCTGCCTCCTACTCCTGTGGTTATACTCCCCAGAACGGAACCTCCCATTCTAAACCCTCCCCAGTCCTACTCAGCTAACCTCCTGCTACTCGCCCACCTGTTCGTAGAGCGATGAGAATATTCTCTCTGCACGGAAATATCGCGGAGTATGACAGTATTGTTAAACGTGTCTCCTCGGGGATAACACGTACATCAGCTCTAGAGCAGATCAGCCTGTCCAGGGCACAGTTTACCAGGAAGCGCTGCATTGCAGAGGCAGCTAAAGTAGACCTGCCCCAGCTACAACACTCTATATTACAGTTAGAGAAAGTTACCTTGGAGAATATATAACCCTTCGCAAAGGATATTTGCAACAAAAACATCGCTATCTTGAGGACACTTTACATTCAAGGAACTGTAGTTCTTCCTAAAAGCAGATACTAATTCTTACAGCAGATACTAATTTTTACAGTCACTGTAATCTGTTAGTGTTATTGTAAAAAATAGACAATTTTATTCTAAATTCGTTTTGATGTTTATTTCTTTATCTATGGAGTAAAATTATATTTATTATTTTGATTTGTTTCAATAAATCAAGTCTATTTTTGTTTCAATGAAATGGAAAATGAGCCTTTCTCGTATGAAATCATCTTGGTTGCACCTCTGCTTATCATGAAAAGCCCTGGACGTTCTTCACGCTCAAACTCAAAGAGATACTGGACTTCGTGTATCTGTGCAGACCGAATATTTCGACGTTTTTGAACTAATGATTATAGAAAAAACGTGCGCGCGACAGTGGGGGAAATTTACTTTACAATTACATACACTGCGCTAGAAACGTGAGTAAAACATTGCACTGCTTAATCATTAATGCATATAATTTCGGACAGTTCGACTAGTTATGCATTTTATTCTCGTTGGGGTTAAAGTAAATGCCACGGTTAAAACACCCCCCCCCCCCCCCCCCCGCGGTTACCGTCATGCTATCAGCTACGAATCTTCAAAAGTTCAAAACACGTGACGACACATAACCACGTGACGACACATAACCACGTGACGACACATAACCACGTGACGACACATAACCACGTGACGACACATAACCACGTGACGACACATAACCATATGATCTCCGCAGCAAGACGCATTGTACGGAGTAGTGCTTAAGTACCGTGGGGATCACGGCGAGGAGAAACAGTGGATAGTTCCTAAAACATTTGAGGAAATAAAGAAGTTTCAGACACGGATATCAGACCAATTACCTTCCATTAATCTTCCTAAATCTTCCATCTTCAGTGGACTTGATAAGGATTATATCTCTAATAGAAAGGACGCACTTAACGGATACCTTAAAGGTAAGACTTTAAATATATTTGTAAATCATAATTCATCATCCCACTCTGATTTGTACTGAAATAATCTTGATCTGCTAAAGAAAAGAAATGAAATTACCAGTTGTTAATTATATTACCATGTTAATATTGTAAAATTACTTGTCAGGTTTATTTGACGACGCAACGCTCCAAAGTCCAGAAGTATTAGAGCAAGTAATGGAGTTCATCAGCTCGGGAAGTAGCAACGCTTCAGACATTACACCTGAACCAACAGAGGATCTTGATGAGAGCTTACAGTTCGATGTAAATCCGATTTAAGTTTGTTCTAATCTAATATAGTTTGGCATATTACTTTAGTTAATGCCTTCTTTGAATCAACTTTCTAAATCACTATTCCCAGAAAAAATGCCTTATCCTGACGAAACCCTGTAGTTGCAAGATCAAAAAGCGCAGTAATAGCAAATTTATCGCTTAAAATTCCTTATATCGTATAAATGGTGGGCATTATTTGAAATATTACTGAATAAAGGACCAAAATATATCCGTGACTTCACTTTCAGCAGAGCTCAGAGCTGTTATTTGAAACCTAAATCTTCAGGCAAATAGTTCACTAGATGACGAAGAGAATATTCCCTTAAAAGTTCTGATCTTGCTCACGGATGAGGTGTTCGATATGAAAAACAGGTACATTTTTATTTTTCAAGCGCAAATAAATTATCTTTCTAGAGAACTGATCATTCTTGATGTTAGAAAAATCTGACAAGAAATGAGATATAGCGGGCTAAATTTAGTAATCTATAAATTGATTCTTTTCTGGAGCTTTTCACGTAGCTTGCACCTTGATGTAAAAAGTTACTGAAAGCGTGCCTCAGGCCCGCAATGTGTAACTAATTAGTTGTACTTTAATCTTCCTCAACATTCACGTTCAGCTCAAGTGTAGCTTTCATCTTTCTAATGTTGCAATATACAATGTGGAAGCTGGTCAGTACAAGGCATAAGAAACTGTTTTTGAATGAAACAAATTTATAAATTCAATATAACTGTTGTGTATAGTATGTTGAATAGGTTCCAGGTTTTGTAGTTGGTGGAGACTGGTCAAGAAACAGTTTTATCATATTTTTAAGGTTTTATTACGTTTCTTTAATAATTAATCTGATAAAATAAGTTAAGATTTAATCAAAATTAAATATTGAAATTGGAAAATGAAGTTTTCCTCCCTGCTTTACTTGTGCACATTTCTCAAAAATATGTTACTCTTTCATAGGGTTCTATTACATAATTGTTAAACATTTATTCCTAAGACTAATCGTTCATTCAATATTCACGATCTCATAACTTGTCCTTCTCCAAACGTTCCCAGTCGCTGAACTGAACCGAATCCTTCAAAAATAAAGATAAAAACAATAAACGTCTTTAAATTCCTAGCTATCTCCACTATCACGTGACATCAAAAGGAGGAGTAGGGTTAGGACATCCTGAGTAGTACGCCAGATACTGTCTCTTGAGTACGGACAGCGCGCACGCGGACACCTCCTCTGGCAGGTCCGTGTGGATGGTGCCGGACAGTTTGTCTCGGAGATGGTAGGCAGCTAGTTGTGTGAAACAGTAGACGGGAGTGCTGCCTGCTATTAGGTCGGAGAAGGTGTTGTCCTGGAAATAGGGGTATAAATCAAGAGGCTTGCATATAATGAACATATTGACACGGGTGCAGATTTGTATGTTAAGGATTTGAAGAGTGTAGAAGATTCAATGGGTGGTTACAATTGTGAAGGTTCTTGTGGTGGTCAGTATTATTAAGAATACTATGATTTTGCTCGTAAATTTGATGTTTTCCCTGCTTAAAATGGATATTTTAGAACAAAAATCAAAATAAACGGGACGGGGAGGGTGGCACAGATAGACCCAGGTGCAGGATTTGCGAAACAGAGGCCACACAATTTTAGCAATCTAATTATCACACCTTTTCACATCCATCCTTGTAGAACTCCCGTAGAATTCTTGGTATGTGACTGGTATCCAAGATATCGCATATTTGAGATACTATTTGTGGAACTTTCCCGAACCTCTGGGAGACAATATCGTCCTCGTACCGGCAGCCTCGACCCAAGGACCAACTCTTCACCACCGTACTGATAGGCACAGCTGACACCTCGTTGGAAGCTGAAACTCAATGACGACTTATTAGTTAATACTTAATATTCACTTTCTGGAGAACTTTACTGTTTTCGTTTGAATTTGAGTTTAATTTTTATTCATCAAAATAAGGTAACATTTAGGAAAATACCGTGCAAATTGAAGATGAGAACCAATTACAAGACAAGTCTAGATAACAATACCGCAATAAAACGTCCCCTAACCCGGACTGGTGGACCCCGAATGACGGAGAACGCCCCAACTCACCTTCCAAGTAAGATCTCCTCCTCTTGAACCGAGGTCTGAGCGCCTCACCCTCCCTGTTACTCCCACATAACCCTAGAGTCTGTGTGTCAGGTGATACTCCTATTATCAGACTAGCTAATCCGTCCCAGTGGAGGGTTACTTCAGGGGTGGTCACTGTCATGTACAGGCCGTCAAATGTTAGCGTCATGTCAAACATCTCCTGCGATGAAAATTAGTGAGTTTGTCGTGCTTAGTAACATCTGGCTAGAAATAGAAAATAACATTAAATATGGTCGCAATTCTACTAGAAAATCGAAAAAAGGTCTAGTTAACCTCGCTCCTCAGAAGAACACGTGCATATTTAAAATAGTCAAATACACAAATACACTGAATCATGAATGATAATCCAAATGCACGTGACCGTGGACGTGACCTTGCACTCACCTTGGTCTCCCCCTCTCTGACCACAACTTTAGTCCCGAAATAGTTAACGAGCCAGCCTCGCTGTATCTCTAGTGGGATATGATTATAGTAGACAGTAACAGTAGAGAGACTGGGGGTGGCAATCTGCCAAGTTGACTGATATCTCACGTAGATAAACCACTTGGCTCGGCGCGTGTCCATTGCGGCAACATGTGTGCAATCTGAGGGATCGGGTTACTAGTAGGGGGGATTACGAGCCTGTACAACTCTCTCTGGAGCTGGAGGCTTGTTGTAGAGGCTTGTTACAGATAGTGATCAAGAAATAAACGTTTCAGGTACGAAAGTTGCTCTTATTTTAACGAATGGACGTTGGTAATGATGAAAAATTTGTATTTTGAAAAGTGGTGCAGGGATCATGAGATTTGATTGGTCGATGCATAAGCTGATTGACTTATTACTGACACAATATGTCAAAACAGACTCTAACACTCAATTACCGACATCCATCAGTCAGTTATGGAATTAGATAATCATCTCAAATTTCGCTCTATCACGAAATTCCCTCTCCTCTCCCCTTTGCCTCAAATGTTAAATGTCCCCCTTGTACCTGTCTGGTAAGAGTAGCTGCCCTGAGTGAAGGTACGAACATGTCCTGGACCGTATAATAAACATAAGTTCTGAGGTATTGTCACTTTTACTGTACTACTTTGCTCTATCTGAAATGGAGAGAAACAAAATTAAAACAAAGTGAAACAAAATTTAACCGAGAGTGGGACAAAATTAACCTAAGTGAAATGGAGCAAAAAAAGTGTCACCGAGCGAAAGAAATTGAATCAGAGTGAAGCAAAGTGAAAGAGCTGAGTGAAGGCGTAATACCAGGCACAAGTTCTGGTTTATCATCACCTGCACTGTGCAACATTGCACTCTCTGAAACACACAAAACTCTAAGTTTAAGCACCTAATTAGGACATATACGTCTCACATAGTTTCATTTTCCGGACAGCGCGAGTTTAACTTTTTAAAAGCTGGCGAGATAATTGAGATCTCAGCATGTGTCTGATGAACGCTAGAAATACAACAGTTCTCTGGCTGTTCCGAGAGCCACAGTTTGACTGCACCACACCCTGCCATTCTATCAGCAGGTAGCATTAACACGGCTTACTGGCTATTTCGCCAACAGTTCCAGGGTGTGACATCAACATGTCAATAAATCAGAAAGTGAACTAAGCGCTGAGAATCTTCTTGAATGAGACACTCTGCACTAACATGGGTTCGCTTGCACGAGTACCAAATAAGTCCAGCTCAGTTAATTCCGGTCGGTGTGTCAATATCACGTGACTATGACACTAGCTGCTGATTGGACAGGAGAGCTGCTGTAGCGCTTTACTCCGTCTTAAGAATGTGGTTCACCAAGCCGCGCTGAAAGCTAAGTGTCATCGGAAAATTTTCGAAGCTGCACTTTGGACAGCTGTATTACCGTATTTGGACATAAAATCTCCAATCCCGAGAATTGTGAGCAGAGCTGGGCCTGATTGGTCGGCCTCAACGTGTTGAAGTCCGGACTATAAAGCGTTTTTCCAGTTCTGGAGAAATCACTTCTCTGTTTACCCTTGAGGTTGAGTACTAATTTTATTACGGTTCCGATTTAACTACTTTCTGTTGCCATGGAGGACGAAACACCCGCTATTGTCGTAGATAATGGATCAGGTAATTTGAATATCTTATCTTCTTAATCTTTTTTAGCTGCTTTCTAAACATTGAATCAGATGATACCAGCTTTTGAAAGCTCTGATAACTTTAAGTCAGATTAATTATTAATAAATTCTACACAATTTCTCAATTTATGATACTTTCAAGGTAAAATTCTGGTTATTTCTGATTGAACTCAAGTATAATCACTGAGTCTAATGAGAAATTGTGAGAGTTTTGTCTTTGAATAATCATCAAAGGAGAATCAATAACAATGCACGATTAAATTCTAACCTATCTTAGATGCTTTTCAAAAAGTCTTGCAAATATTATACATGACTTTAGTTCATTAACTTTAAGACTCGTTATTGATCGATGTAATTTCAGGTATGTGCAAGGCTGGTTTCGCTGGAGATGACGCTCCCAGAGCTGTCTTCCCCTCGATCGTCGGACGACCCAGGCATCAAGGTGTCATGGTCGGTATGGGACAGAAAGACTCCTACGTAGGAGACGAAGCCCAGAGCAAGAGAGGTATCCTCACCCTGAAGTACCCCATCGAGCACGGAATCGTCACCAACTGGGATGATATGGAGAAGATCTGGCATCATACTTTCTACAACGAGCTGAGAGTTGCCCCAGAGGAACACCCCGTCCTTCTGACCGAAGCTCCCCTCAACCCTAAGGCCAACAGAGAAAAGATGACCCAAATCATGTTCGAGACCTTCAACTCTCCCGCCATGTACGTCGCTATCCAGGCTGTCCTCTCCCTGTACGCTTCCGGCCGAACCACCGGTATCGTTCTGGATTCTGGAGATGGTGTTACCCACACCGTACCCATCTATGAAGGTCAGTCTAATTAATAGCTTTTTAAATTTAAATTTTGCAAAGCAATGTTCCAAGATTTTAAAATTTTATCTTTACAGCCTGATTTTGGACTTTGAAGTCTTTTAACAGCTTAGACTTTTTAAATAATTTTCATGGAATTTTTAAATAATTTTCATAGACTTTTGATTAATCTTTGTAGTTTGATCGTTACACACATCATTTACTATCACGCCTTGTATCCACGATGTAAATTGAAACTAAATTTCTGATTAATTTCAGGTTATGCCCTTCCCCATGCCATCATCCGTCTGGATTTGGCTGGACGTGATCTTACCGACTACTTGACCAAGATCCTCACCGAGAGGGGTTACTCTTTCACCACCACCGCTGAGAGGGAAATCGTCAGGGACATCAAGGAGAAGCTTTGCTACGTCGCCCTCGACTTCGAGCAGGAGATGCAGACCGCTGCCAGCTCCAGCTCTCTCGAGAAGTCCTACGAACTTCCCGACGGACAGGTCATCACCGTCGGAAACGAGAGGTTCAGGGCCCCAGAAGCTCTCTTCCAGCCCGCCTTCATCGGTCTTGAAATCCCCGGCATCCACGAGAACACCTACAACTCCATCATGAAGTGCGATATTGATATCCGTAAGGATCTGTACGCCAACACCGTCCTTTCCGGAGGTACCACCATGTACCCAGGAATCGGTGACAGAATGCAGAAGGAGATCACCACCCTCGCTCCCCCAACCATGAAGATCAAGATCATTGCTCCTCCAGAGAGGAAATACTCCGTATGGATCGGAGGATCCATCCTTGCTTCTCTGTCTACCTTCCAACAGATGTGGATCTCCAAGCAGGAGTACGACGAATCTGGTCCCAGCATCGTCCACAGGAAATGCTTCTAAGATGGATGTTATCTATAGGCTACCCTTTGGCTTTGCTGCAACATTTTGTTGCTACATTGCTTTAATTTGCGGCAGCTGTGTTAAGTAGTTATTTTATAGCTACCATGCACCGGCGATGCTTTGGCTCCTTTAAGGCCTTACATGAGCTCTGCAATTCTACATTAGCCAAGCCGGCTCTTTTGCTGCTGCTAGATTTTGTGGAACATGCCCGCCAGACTTTGGTCTGCCAGCTGGGCATTTTGCCAGCAGAGATTTGAAAATCGGACTGAAACGAACTTTGTAAAACGGACTATCTCAAGGTGTATATTTTTGTACTGTGATGTTTATGCAGATTAATAAGTGAAATGTAATTTTGTTTGCTTTGTACGTAATGTTTTGAATTAAAATTGTAGTCGTACCTCGCCCATGCATTTAAAAAAATTAACAAAATAAATATCCTGAGAAGTATGACGTCACAATCACAGTTTGAAATTGTAATCTTACCTCGCCCTTGCAGTTAGATACTTGACAAAAGAAGTAACGGTCTCCCCTTATATCAGTGACATTGAGCGTGTAACTGTCTTCAGAGGCTCCAGACTTTAACTCGTGACGACCTTTAGTATTTAGCTCGAACCAGCTTACCTGAAATAAATAATTACATTTCCCATCAACTGCCATCGCCTGAATAAACAATTGATTTACTCATTAGGTTGCATTTAACAAAATTTGGCAAGCTTTTATGGAATTCATAGACATTTCTCATCGACTGTCATCATCTGAAATAAATTATTAATAATTGATTTACTTGCTTACTCATTAGGTTGTATCTATAAAAAGTACAAAAGAATTCATGGAATTCATAGCCAGGACTCATAAACTGTCAGAATCTCAATGAAATAATTGATACCCTTCATTAGGCCGTATTTATAAAATTAAGATGTTTTGAAGAGTTTATGGAGATCATATTCAATGCTCAGCAATAATTGCTTCTTGTTGATATTAGTACCGAATCTTTGCCAGCTGTTGGTGAGAATTATTTTATGCAATTTTAACACCAAACACCACAATAACTAAAATATAATTTAATAAGACCAGCCCAACCTTGCACCACCAACTCTATATTATGTCTCGGGAAGAATTATGATAAACTGCATATAAAATAATAATAAACATTATAATTATATGATAAACGATCTCTAAATGGAAAACAAATCACGCGAATTGCGAACGAACCTCAACAGGAATGCCGCTGGCCTCACTCAGCTTGCACTGTAAGATTGCGTTTTGTCCGTACAGGACGTTAAGTGTGGTAGGTAGATGGTCTAGTTTTAGTGGTCGTAGTTCTGTACAGTATGTTAGAGGGTGGGGGGTTAGAGTCTCGTTCTGAAGACACCCAACGTACCTGAAAATCTGCTGTGTTGTACCAAGTTTATATGTTAATAAGTTTATAAGTCAATCACCTTAATAACACCAGAATGTGTGTGTGTCTGTCTGTCTGTCTGTCTGTCCGTGTGTAATTTCCGGTCGGTTATACAAAAAAAACGGTAAGAGTTACGGGACTGATTTTTTCGGTATAGTGTCGACAAAACTCTGATGAAGCCCATAGGAATTTTTTTTTTAAATCGGCCGATGGTAAGTGGTTTAATTGATGGTTTTGTACCACAAATGTTACATAAAATTGCGTGAGCAGAACGGCAAGAGTTACGGGGCTTGCTCTCTCTCTCTCTCTCATTACTGTGTAATATGTTATAGCTGCATTTAAGTAGCGTCATAATTGGATTACCCCGGAAGATTCGCTGTAATGTTATACCTTAAGATTATTAGGGGAGGGGGGACTGTTAGTGTTTGGGGTCTGTTTGGACTGCAGAGAGAGAGAGAGAGAGAGAGTTCATACGACAATGTTATGCGTGTATTCAAATATAATATGCGGGTGTGGTGCGGAGTTAACAAGGGTTAATTTCTATAACGATTTAAATAAAAATAGAAAGCGGTTCAAGACGGGAGTGATGAGGTGTAATACTCGGTGTTCAGACCTTATGATCATGGAGTGTGGTGCCTCATGGCTAATAATGACTTAATTATCCACAAGAAATAACTGATTATGAGATTATTGTTTAAGAAACTATTGGGTCACCTAATGCGGGTTTTGACTCAGCGGGTAATTACTCCTACCCTTTTTAACTGCGGCAGTGAAATCCCGGCCGTAGGCCGGGTTACACTAGTAAGTTTATAAGACAGTTCACTTACTACGTCAGCATTTTTGCCATTATAAATATCTCCGGGATTTCGACGCGGGATCATATTATCACTCAGCCCGGCCCGCTGTTAGATAAACATCTCAAGGTGATATCATCCCGCCCCGGAAATTTGTATAAACCCGGCCCGCTTTTTAGTCGTAACTGATGTTTATCATTCAATTCTTCGACTTACAATAATCAATGATACTGCTGATTAGAACTCGATAATAGTAGAACAGTTAGACGCGCGATCACGTGGGCGCGTCACGTGCGTACCACGTGCCACCAATAGCATACGCCGAGTCTATACCACGTGACACGAAAGCGCACCACGTGATATGAAACATCGTAACCGTCCACTTCTTTTACACGCAAATTCCTGGGAACGTTGCCAAAGCAGCTAATTCTTGGAATTTCTCCAACGCGTGGCGTGAGAAGTTGGCGACTAGCCAGCTACCCTTGTCCGTGCCCTAAAAATAGTATTGTTTTGCTTGCTCTCCTTCCAGCTCTTGTTCCTGCTAACGTTCAAGCTATTGCTCCACTATGACAGATGCTTATATACCGGTATAACTTCAATTTTGCTACTTAATCTTAATTTACTACTGTTAGTACGTTATCGTATCACTTGTTATCACCATCACAAATAGAAATGAAAATATTACTAAAATCAGACCCGTATTCCGAAATAAAAACTATTTTATCACTCTCTTCTAAAGTATAAATCCCTTGTCGAAATCGCCGGAGATAATTATAATCCATAAACACTTCACGCTCAGGGCTAAATAAATGTAATCCCTCAGCTGGCGCTTCGGGATTACATATTAACACAAAACTCGTGCGCTGAGCGCACTCGTATGTGTTTATCAGATCATCCCGCTAGCGCGGGATGATCTGTTATATAAACCCTTTGCGTGGCGGGTTTATGTTATTTGAAACTCTTGCAGTCAGTAAGTTTACACATGGTTATTATCCGAAAATTACCTACGATCAGCACCAATTTGGAAACCTTCTCCATCACAGAATGGAATATGTGCACCGTCCCTTATAAATCAATTGCCCATTGATTAATCACTTTATCCGTGTCGCATCACATTCTTCAATGAATATTATGTCTCATTGTCCCTTGTAAATTACACAGTATATAGGTAATAATTAGGATCTAGCAATCCTCGTCCTACCTGATAAAGAATGCGGTCTCTAACCACGTACAACATACAACGTACCTCATATAGCAAGCATCAGGGTAGATCCTACAGTTGGACCCACACACTGGAGCAGGATCCTCACAGTTTCCTGGCAGTGAACACAGGGACATCACCAGGTTAGCAGGGCCACTCTCTGTTGGGGAGAGGTGTGGTTACAACTTTATACTGTGTGTGTGGTACTAAGTTATATTATATCTCTGATAGTGCTCACTTAAAAGGTTTTGTTCTAGAAGATCACGAGTTGAGAAGAACATGTTGTTGAAAACCAAATAAACTACCACTAAAGATATGTTAAAACCTTGTGAAGGTGACACTGGTGGGACGGTAGCTCTACTGGAGGTGAAGGGCAAGGTGGTGAACTTCCACTCCGCATTATTGTAACCACCAACTCTCCTGCACGTCACCAACACACCCCACAGCAACAGCCAAACATTCATCTGACTAGATCAAATAGTACAAAGTCAACACTAGATAGACAAGGTTGGTGGGAGATTGTAATTCTCCTCCAGCTCCTTAACCATTATTGCATTTGCGTAACAGACTCACTAAGATCAAAATTAAATTTACAGAATGTGATAATGACCGAGTTAGCCTCTCTTTTCCAGAAGAGCTGGTAAATTTTCATGTCATATAGAGGAGAATCACACGTACAGTGCGATAATATTACAAATAATGCTGCTTAAAGTGTATCGGGTGCTTCAAACAAACTTTGGTAGGCAGAAATCTAATAAAGGTGTAGGGATGGTCAAAGTAGGTAGGAATCGGATCTAATATTCGCTTAAATGCAATTGTGTGGGTGGGAACGTGATGACCGTTAAAAAGCAAACAATGAATGAATGCTCGATTCAAATTAGTTCTCGGGTGACAAAACGGCGCTATGAAGTTGTGATTTGAGTCATTCTTGATACGTGTTCATTTTTGGAACATTGCCTCTGTTTCTATATCAGGGAAGATTGTGTACAGTCGATTCGATTAGAAATATAATGTGGCCTCGGCCCATATTCAACTATGATTATCTAGTATAAGTCCACTAAAAACGAAGCTATAAGAGCCTAGCAAGTATAGTAGAAATCTAAGTAGAAGTCAAAGCAGACGGCTGAAGAACGAGCCATCAGTATTAAAATACTGCACTAAATTAAACTGCAGAAAGTCTATTGGCTCAATAAGAACGGCAAGTCTTTAGTTGAGGATGACATCTGATAGCGCTGACTACTGACTCTTAACCACAGATCGGCTGTTAGAGCAGAATATCTGGTCGGGATTTTCAGGTCAGGGTCACGGTTTATGGTTACTGGAGAGTCTGTAGATCACATTCTAATATAAACAGACTGGGTTTTAGCCTTTCTGAGCTCAATTTTATTTAAGCTGGTTTAAACGATGCGGTACGGTACTCTAGGGGAAGTAGGCACTTGTTTGATATATAGGGGTGCTTAGTTTGAGGTTTCAGTGCCTCATCCTTATGATACACTCTCCCCTGTCTACTGTGGAAACCACAGCCGCCAATATCTGGCCTCTAAATTACTTTTACTGTAATTGTAGTGCAGTTTCGAGCTTTTAGCAGCCAGCTTTCCAGTGCTGTTAACTGACTGATAACCCCATCTATTTTCAGGAACCAGTGGTTCAGGACACGAATGGTGACTTTCCTTCGGCAGATCGTAAGAGCGACATTTGGCGGGAAGATTAACCTAAAGATACAGGAGTACGTGGAGTGGCTGACTTCTCCGGAGTATATCAGTGAAATGATCACTCTCTTCAAGTGAGTTTACTGATTAGAAGAGATTTGTTAAATATATCACTTAAGCAGCTGCAAATATCAAGCAATATTCTGTACATTTGGCAGATTTATCGTTATGTACAGAAGGTGCTTATTTTTATAGGGATCAACTTTGTGGGAGGCGAATGAAAAAGTGAAAAGCAACGTTAAATCAAATAAAGCAAACACTCAAAGGAACGCATCCTTTTTATTTGCAGATAGACCTTATAATTGTATTAACCAATGATAGGCTAGGTAGTAAGGTATAAATAACATTTCATTATAAGATCGTATAAAATTTTACGGCGAAATGACAGACAATGTCAATAACACATCAGTGCAGGTTTTTTGTATCTACCGTCAAACAGATCTGTAAACAGTGGTTTCCCTTCACTATTGACAAATTATTAATTTGTATCACACACGAGCATTTTATTATCATAAGGGTCTGCTCTGTGGGAAGCGAGTCATAAAGTTTTAAAAAGCGACGTTTAATCGAACAAATCGAACATTCAAATGAGGCAAGAACTAACTATTTAAATTTGTATGCAGTCTTACTGAATAGTGATTAAGGTAATAATAGATTGTAAGACATTGAATTTCAATTCACCATAAGATGTTGCCAACTTTTACGAACAATTATCACTGCATTCAATGTCAACTGGACACGTTTGAAGTCAACAACAAAGACGGACTGCATGTTGAGGGAGGGGTGGTCGACGGCCTGAGCTCAAATGAAACAAATGAAATTGATATCAGAAATCGGACAATCCCAAAACTTGAAAGAATCAAACAAAAGCAACTTTGTAGTGTTATGAAGTAACTCTGAAATCAGCGATCCGTGCAACGGGTGAACCACTAATTGCACGTTGAAAGATTAATACCCGGCACTCCGTAAACCTTCTACTCTGCGGAATCTAGCTGCGATGTGCGAGGTTTTCATAACTTGGGCCCAGGTATTTACCACAAAACTTCAAACTTCAAACCGGGACTGCTTCTAGTACATTTGTCACGACCCAGACATTTGTAAATGGACAGTAAATTCGATAAATTGTAAATTCTGAAAAAAGAAGTAACACTCTAATTCGATGGGACTATCTAAACGCTCAAACTAGATTACGTGCGGTGTAACGTACAAGAGATCGCCGAACTTTTATCCAGAACCTATTAAGTATTATAGGTAAAGTAAAGGTATCGGTTTAATCCGCTTTGGATGTCTTTAGTTTAGACAATGTAAATATTACCTTCGCTATAATAGTTCACGTCATTACTCATTTTTCATGTTCATGGAATAATCGATTTTCAAATTAAAAGAACTAGCTGTATGCCCGTCCTACGGACTATCATTCCTGCTTTGAAAATGAAAGTTCGTTTTTAGACGATAAAAAATTTAAACCACCCAGCCGGGGCTTGAACACTCCATTTCGCACCCTTCAAAAAGTTGAATGCAGATATTGAGTATTGACACACTCATATATACATATTACAGTGACTTCACAGTGCATTACAAGGAGTAATATTAATCGCATTGACTCGGACATCGAAAGTGACAATCCGGCATAAATGATACCATAATGATCTCACTTATTATTAAGAAACTGTTTACACCATTAAAATATTCAAAACCCCTAAAAGAAATCAAGTCATCCTAAAATGGTGATCAGTACAGATCAAGACAGCTAGAGTTAAAATTTGTTTCTCCAAGCAACTCTATCATCAGCTAATATCTTAAGCTTATTAAGATCATTCAAAGAGTTAAGTTTTAAACCTCTACGGGTCAAATCATTCACAATAATCTTGAACAAATTCTTACGATGCGCACCGACGCGCCCTTTACAGTTTGTTGTGACAGCAAACTTTAACGCTAATGCAGCGGGGGAGTCATCAGCACTACGCAAGATATGACCTAGGAGCTTCCACCTTGCTTTAGGGACACGATCTGATAGCTTAACTGAGTTACATCTTAGGTATAAGTTTGCATTGGATATTGTTCCATGAGGCCAATAAATGTTCAGTAATGATCTAAGGTGTTTTCTATGGCAAATGTCTAGTTTTTCTAGTGACTTTGCAGAAGGACACCAACTACTGCAATTGTACATGATGATTGATACAATTTGGGCTTCGTATACTGCTATCTTTCTGGTAACGGAGATATTCTGCTGAGACCAGATCTTGGTGAACTTATAGAAGGCATTGTTCCCAGCAATGCATCGAGCAGCTATATCACTTTCACTACACAACAATGACCCAAGAATCTTACTCTTCCGCCAATCTTCATTTCCACGTAACATGGTATCATCACGACCAGGGATTGTTTCTACAACAGGAGCGAGGAAAACATGGGTAAATTCTGTTTTCTCTGTGTTAATGAACAGGTTAAACTCCTTGAAGACTTCCTTAGCTATTGGTAGGATAGCTTCTAAGGATTCTTTTTCCACGTTCATGAAGTTACAATCATCTGAATACGCTGACTCCAGTGGCATACCTTCTTTTGAAATAGGGGGATTGGGTATGTGTGGGGGAGACTCTGCTAGTCGATGGCGTAGTTCTATAAGAGCTCCTGCTAGGACAAGAGTGAAAAGCTTGCCGGAGAGACTGTCACCTTGAAAGGACCCAAGAAGACTCTCGAATACAGCAGATAGTTCTCCTTCCACTCTGACCTTGAGCATGGTGTTGGTTAAGAGGAGTCTTACTAGCCTGAGGTCGTCGTCTGTGCATCCAGCTTTGACAAGAAGGTCAAGTATAGTCTGGCGTTTGATTGTGTCAAATGCTCGAGACATATCTATGCCCATCTTGTGATACTGGAAGTGTTTACGCGTGACAACCGATATCAACATCCGCTCAGCCCACACTAGATCACCACAACTTCTACCATGTTTGTACCCCGCCTGCGTGCTACCAGTGAAAGCATCAACTTTGTCTTCAATTCTCTTCAGTACAATCATGGATAATATCTTACGAGCACCATTTGATAGACATAGAGGTCGTAGACTAGTGACAGGACCAGCTGATTGCGAGGTTTCGGTAAGGGGGTGATGATGGCTTCACCTATAACATCAGGAAATGAATTGGTCTCCAATGCGCTATTGATGATCTCGGCATATTTTGACCAGAATTTTGTACCAGCATTTTTCAACCACTCGTTGTAGACTTTATCTGGACCAGTGGCTTTGTTGTTCTTGAGAGATTGGGCGGCTTTCTTTACTTCATCACATGTGATGGGTATGTCTAGGCAGCGTCCATCCCCTATAAATGCTTGAAGTGGTTCATCCTCACACGTGAACTGCTTTTCGTAGTAGTCTCTGATCACTTGAGCTTTACCAACATCTGTGGCAACAAAGTTACCTTCTTCATTGTGGACACTGATAGTAGATTTGGGCTTAATGATCTCACTGGATATTCAATTTATGCATTGGCCAAGTAAAGTGTTCCAATCTAAGCGTCTTTTTCGTGGCCTGGTAGGACAAATTTGGAAAGATTTTCACTTTGAATCGGGGCTTTGTTTTTAATAGGATAAACATTGAACATTGTGTTAATCAAACGTAGTGCGGCGGGCCGCGGGAAGATACCAATTTCCCGGTATTCCGGTAATGTGAGGTTAACAGTAAATCAGGCTTTAACTGTTGTTATGTACGTTCATAATATTTTGGCGTATAATTATGTTTTATGTAATTTCAATTGGATATTTTTTTATAATTACGTTTTATATAATTCCAGGGACTCGTTCTGGCCGGAGGGTAAGTGGGCTGACCCGGGTCCAGTACGACCACCATCATCTGTCAGTCTGACAAAGTTCATGGGACATACCAAGTTACAGGGTATGATTAGTGATGAACTGAAGAACATTATCGGCAAGGAGACTGTCAGAGAAGGTGTCGACTTGTGAGTATTATTATAATATATACGGAATCCTCGAACCAGTAAGTACAGTATGCCATCTGCAAAGCAACAGCTCTCAAATATAAAACACGGCGGAGGTATAAGACCCAACGTTTGCACACTGACTTTTGGCCCACCCTGTATATTATTTAATAATATATTATAATAATATATTATAATGATATATTATTATAATATATATTATAATTATTACTATTAGGAGGGAAAGGGCCCACCCTGTATATTATTTAATAATATATTATAATAATATATTATAATGATATGTTATTATAATATATATTATAATTATTACTATTAGGAGGGAAAGTTAAAACAAGCTGCCCCTTAAGTTTTATGTAAATCAAGATATAGTGGGATAAAAGTAAAACGATTACAAGGGTTGTGAGGGTTGTGAGGATAGTGGGCAACCCTCAAATCTATTCCACAATTTTGTCCATCAGGCATTATAGATACAGATACAATGATTGTCATAGTTTAATACGAGGCCGAGTTTTATGAAGCAACGATTTGCTGTCTGTATGTAGTGACTACGAAGATAACAGAACTAAGCAACAAAGTAAAATAAATAATGATAATCCTGCTGTGCAACAATCACGTTTCTGTAACTCAACCTATATATAGCTTCATATAAGAGCTTGATGAGCATAACATTTGTTTAAAATTAAGCATTTTGCACAAAGCATAAAATTTAGACTCTAATTCTGTCCCTATTATTTATTGATAGATTTATTAATTATCCGGATGAAGATTCCCAGATACAGTGTCTAGATACACCGTCATGCTAAATTACGGAAACATTTAATTACTCATGTGATAGGTGGAGAGTCGCACCGTCAACCGTTCATAAAAGTGCATTATTGAGTTGTTACCATTCAAATTAGGGTCGGTGTGATCTCATAAGCGGCGGTTGTTTGATCATCTTTATCTATATAACTTAAAACTTTATGTGTTAATATGCCAAATTACTTATTATTTTGGCAGAGCTGCAGATTATCTGCGGAGATCTCACTGATATAGATTTATTTGCAGGGTGTTCAGAATGTTCCAGGCAAAAGAAATGAACCGACTGCTGTTCTACAAGATGTTTGAAACTTTCATTGAAGCTGTGTTTCCCGACAACAAGATAAGAGCGACATTATCGTTATTAAGACACAATATTAACACTAAAGCTATTATTAGGAGGCATAGCGTATTGAAATAATTATCGTTATTAAGACATAATATTAACACTAAAGCTATTATTTGGAGGCATAGCGTATTGAAATAAACTGTTTAATTTAATTGGTTATATTATATTGATTATCCCGCGTTGTTTGATCTTTTTCTATCCTAAGTTAACCTGTCCTATCTAACCCTTTACAATATCTCTTTTTATGAGCTAAGAAGGTAGATTGTATGTAAGAATACGGGGCCGGTCCAGAAATTACCTTATAATTTATACTTAGTATGTTGATGGTGGATTTTTAAACCTTACTACCACAATATGACCGTCACTTAACTGAGCCACTGAATTAACACGGCCCCTGGGCCTGTACCAATTTCACTGTATTTAATTTTATAGTCTTAAATTAATTCCTGAAGTTCGTATGAAATATTATTCTGATTATGATAATATGACGAGTACTGCTGTTATGTTACAAGATTTTTTGTTTGATTTATTTGTTAGTTGTTGAGCTATATAGTTGAATGTACAAATTTCATGTTGAATTTGCAATGTTACCGTTAATATGAATTATTCGTTTTTACTGATATATGTTTGTTTTCCGTCTTTTTAGTACAGTATTGTATGTTTTTACAATGAATGCTGTTAAATCAAATTAAATGAAAGATTTATGGTCAAATAGAATTACGATCATATCCTTAAACTGTTCCTTGATAAAACAATCCGAAAATTTCTGATGAATTTGATACTATGTACAGTAAAACGGCTATTTACCAGAAACCTCGAATCTCGATTTACCGCGGTAAATTTCTTTCCCCCTAAACTTCGCGGTAAATCAGGGTTTAGTTTATTTACATCATATACAGATATACGTTAAAAAAAGCTAAAAAAGCAATGAATCACGGCGGAAGAAGGTAAATCTTCTGTAAAAAGCTGAAAGTATGACAAAAAGTGAGGATTCGGAAGAATTCGAAGGTTTTCCTTCAGATAGAAAAAGTCTTATCACGATGGCTGAAATTGCAGAACAAGCTGAGCGTTGGAATGAGATGACTATAACAGCAATGAAGAAGGTGCCTGTTATATTTTTGTAAACTGTCTGGAACATCTGCTATGATCAACTTCTTAGATATAGAGAAGTTTAAAACTTGAACAACATTGCTTGATTTTATATGAATGTTGTGAAATATTGATTTCAGTTGCCAAGATGAACTTGTAAAACAACTACACTACAGTGAAACATTAGTTTGTACATTCCTCTAGCAGAATATATGCAACTTACTTGCTAAAATCATGTTTATCTTCACTTCCGTCAGGTGGTACGTCTGGGTGGTGAACCGCTACTAACAAAAGAGAGAAACTTACTGTCAGTGGCTTTTAAGAACAGAGTGCGTCCATTGCGGTCTTCTTGGAGAGTTCTCTCTTCTTTAGCTAGAAGGAGGACGAACAGAATATAGCTACACAACTTCAGGATAAAGTTAAAAATGAGATCACTGAGTTTTCAAGAGAAGTTCTGGAGCTTAAAGAAACGTATCTTAACCCCGTGGCGATTGAACATTTAGCCAGTGATAGTAGCCAAGCAAACGCTGAGGCAGCAATATTTTGCTTGAAGATGAGGGGAGATTTCTATCGGTACATTGCAGAAATTACCACTGCAGAGACAAAATCTGAAGCTGAACAGAAATCAAAGAAATTGTACGAACAAGCTAGGGAATTTCAAGAAACTCATCTCAAAGCGACCAACCTAGGAATGTGCCTCAGCTATGCACATTTTTATGCCGAAATTATTGGGGATTATGCTAAAGCTAGTAAGATAGCCAAGAAAGTATTTGACGCTGCCTTAGCTGAGTTGGACAATTTAAACGAGGAGGCATACGAAGACAGTACCAGTCTAATGCAGCTTCTACAAGAGCATGCTACCCTTTGGGAGGCAGTTAGTCATTAGTGACTGATTATTTAGTTGATGAGTAGTGATTACTACTTCGTTGTTTACTTTTTCGACCGTTTTCAGTTTTGTTGAACAATTGTGCCAATCTATTCTAATATCAGTACAACATAAACGGTTGAAGAGAATATCAAGGAACTGCAGGTCCAATTAATCAAGTTTTTACAAAACCTGCTCTGTATTTTATCAGACAGCGTCATTCTATTTAACTTTAAATTTAGTTTGCATTGTATATCGGGCAAAATTGTACCTTGTAGTCATTCTTTTCCACTAGCACATGGGCTGTTTAAATTTCAATACCTACCCTGGCAATCCCTGTTTACAAATGGCGCGGTCACGCTGTAAAGTATACTTCGCGGCGACCGCTATACAAAAGATATAATGCCATGTGCGCAAATTGACAAATCGATAAATGCGCGTTTAAGACGTTGCGTGTCTAGCTTCGATCTGCGCTGCCTCAAACTGATTATAATCTGACCTCTGAGCTAGCGGTGTACTGTACGTGCACTTCAAGATACCGCACACGCAAATCTCCTTGCTTCTGTCGTTTCCGCGGGAATAGAATTGGCTTTGTTTCACGTCTTGTTCGCGTCATAGTACTTGAAACCGATAATAACCAATTTTCTTACTTACTTTGGATACTTTGGAGAGATTCGTAGATTCCTCTACTGGGTCTGGGGTCATTGAATAGTTCGACCGGCGACCGCCCTCGCAGCATCGCTGCTGCCTTATTCATACTCCAGTCCAGCAAAAAATTTCCATTAGGGCAGCTGTAATTGCTCACAAATGGGTCATCTGGAAACGGTTTAAGAAATGCTGATAGCTTTGCTTTGAACAGCAGTGCGTCTTCAATAGTGTTCCTTATCTGGGGACCCAAGGCCAGGCTATAATATTAATGTTCATAAACAATAAAGATTCGGCGGAATGACAGGCTGAGCGCCGCCCAGTAAAGTGTTCCAAGGTGGCCTTGATCCTGTGTCTTGATGGAGTAATAGTAGAGAATGGATCGTCAGGTCATTTAGGCAGCGTTGGTGCACGATTTTACACATGTGGATGATGTAGATGACATAGCGCTATATCCTCCTTTGCATCGACAATTTAGTGCTTTGAGCCGCTGCGGTATAGACGTTAGGATAGCAACCACTTACATTTCTACCATAAATCCTTATTAATTAGGTATCATGCTTTAAAAATAAGTAGTTACCCCAGCCAACTTGGATCTTAATATTAGTTATCAAATTAAAATAATGCGGATATAGTGAGCTGAACATCACCTAGAGATAAAGGGTCAGCTTGATCATCAGACTCTTACTACTTATTTGGTTAATTTTTTAAGCAAATTTCAACCGTGTTCAACATTAAAACAATATGTAGCGTCGGTTTATTAGTAAAGCAAAAGGCTGTGATATTTCTGTCTGGAACTTTTCACGTTTTTCTAACTATGTGCTGTAAGCAGTTTTACCTTGTTTCCTCACGGTGTACATTCCTCGACTACATATAATGTATATGTATCGTCCGAATATAACTTTGATCAATTGCTAAACGGTATGTGGTGTAACGTTGGCATTTATACTATGTTCGCACAACCTAGAAGGCTCTAGCTCCGTAGGTTTAATTCAATGAGCACATTCTGTATTATTTGATTATAAGTTATGTTATATGTAAAAATTAGCTCTATATTGTAAGTTTATTATTATATTTATTCTCAGTTTATTGTCAGAAAATAATTTTTTTCCCTAAACTTTGATCATTTGATAAGCGGAGTGTGGTCTAAATTCTTATGTTGGCATTTATGCAAAATAAATTTTACGACATTTTTTAGGAGGTCTAAGTTTGACATATATTATCTGAAATTTTGAAGCCATTCTGATACGAATTACGTGAGTTACTAAAGGGTTGCGTGTGGGTAGTTACTTCTGGGCCACCCAAGAAGTAACTATGTTTTCACTATTTAGAGGGCTCTAGCTCTGTAGGCTTATAATAATAAAACAATTATTTATTTTTACGGCACAATCAAACAAAATAAATCGTATATAAATCAGTTGGGGCTTGAGGAGGTTTCAAGTGCCGAAGGCCACCATGCTTATCTTTGGATTTGAGAGTGACCTGCGCTTGAAACCCCTCAACCGATAACCATCCACTACGTCAATATACTTTTTAGAAAAATGTAGAAAAATATAATAATCTAAAATTACTTATTGGTCTAGTTTGGTGACACAGGAGAGCCCAGTTGAGTTTTAGTATAGGTTTAATTTAAGTTATAGTTTAAAAGGTTTACCATGTTTCATGGCAGAGAGATATCATGTGTGCATATACTGCATAGTATAGTGTATTCTGGGTAAAATTATCTTTATCCCGGTTGTTGCGACAAGTAAAAATGCTCTTATTAGGGAAAAGGAGATTACTCGACGTTTCAATGTAACTACATCGTATTCATGATCTCAAATTATTTGTTATATAGTAGTGTTGAAAGTATTAAAATAGTATAGTGGATGTAGAATTTAAGATATAATATAATTTAGTTACCATGTATTAGGGTCGCCTCGATTTTGGAGGGATAGCAAGTGCTTTTTAAGGTTCGATTTAATAATACCTGTCGAGGCTAGGTAAAGAACCCAGGGGCCGGGATTATTATCCCATCTTCATTAGCATCACATGTTTCGAATACATATAAGCCATAAGGGGATGAGATCATTCCAAATTTGGTACAGGTGTACAGAAAGTTCTGTTGGGAGATATCTCACTTCAGTAATGGGACGATCAGACGAAGTTTTTTATTTATAGGGAAGAACTTGGGTTTGAATCAATGAGAACATTTTTTATGCGATTATTAGTCCTGTAAATATTAGCTTTATATTGTAAGCTTTATAAGTAATTTTGTTAACGATAAATTAGATTTGTGGTATATTCATGAGCTGTATAACTTAATAAAAATTACATTTGGAACATTCCCAATTAGATTAAAAAGTATTACATTTTTAATCAAAATGCGACGTGTCAACTGTGATTGTTTCTCGTTCTAAGCAATCCAGTAAATACACGGTCATACCTGCTATTCTATCAGCACCAGCCATTATATAGTGATGTGTGTACATTAAACGTTGTTTTACATTTCCTATTCAATACGACGTATAGACTTAGTCAATAGGTTAATCGACTATTAATTTGCATTATATTTATGGACCTGAGTTTATTTAATATTTACCCCTACCAAGTAACTTAGATTAATTAAGTTTAAAATAGCTACAATTTGGCTTAAATGTAAATCGTGATCGATCCTT